TACTTGCCCTATGGCGGCGGATAGTGATAACGCTGTTTTCTTGTTATCTATGACGTGTACCGGTTAAGATGTAGAAAGTGGAGCTTGTTGTCCTCTTCGCTTGGGAGGCTCACACTGAACGTCAGTTGGACGTTTCTGAATCCTTGAAGACAGACTGAAGGTAGAATATTCTGGAACCTCTGGTTAGTAGACCAGACAATCTCTTTTTGGATGGTGTGTAGTCTACCACTGAAGAATTGTGGACCTGTGATAGACTTCGACAACATATTACTCCTCAGCATGGCTGGAAGGCGCTGAAGTATCTGCTGAATGAGGTGGTAGCGCTACATGAAAAGAAACACTTGAGCTGACTGGAGATCTTCCTGGATCTTGAAGATATGGTCCAAGAAGCTGTACGCCAAGTTCTACTGTTCCACTATCATATTGACTCGGAGTCCAAGGGTTGACCAGCAAGGTGATTGATCGGAGGGATGACACAGTCTAATGTCACGAACCAATTGATGTAGGCATTGATGCTCATCATCTGTTTGTTGACAGTATCAAGCTCCTTGAACTTGCCCATGTCAATTCGAGACTTGGTCGTCGGATTTCTTACTATCTCGTGATATGTTCGTCTATGATAGGATGCAGCTGCAAGGGACAATTGAGGGTTTTGTAGATGCTCTTGCTGATCAGAGGCAGGTGAGTCTAACATTTTTATCTGTGGGTGTATTCACTGACCTATTTATCCTTTTCGTTATGTTGTTAGTATACGAGGGAAGGGTAGAGTGCTGATTTCTTCCGCCTTAACACGCACGCCCAATCGAAGGCTTGCTCAGCTGTTCTTCCTTGTTAGTAGACTGTAACACAGGGATAAAGTTGTACCATTCCTGAAGGATATCCTTGACCGTATAGTTGTCATGCTTGATCGCTTCCTCCTGAACAGATTCAGCATCGTAGGAAAAGACTTGGGTTGCACAGTCGCACACCCAAGACCAACAGTGCTGTGGTGAGCCATTGTGATGAGGTGGCGAACTGCCTTGGAATCCCACCTGCGACTTGAGCTGCACGAGGCACCTGCCGGAGGCTGGCCTAGAATTGTCTCAGTGGTAAATCAAATGGCACAAACATAATGTGAAAGGACACGTCTGCTAGGCTTTGCAACAGGATTTATTTACTCGTCTAGAATCATGTTGTTATTGTGTAGATAACTCGGAGGAGATTGATATCTGTCCTTATTATCTCTGTGATGAGACACAGTTTTATTTACGTTACACGTGGAAAGGCAGTGACTCGTGAAGCTTACATGTGACATTCCTATTGTCATGAGTGTTTACCGACTCAGCCTGACTAGATTAATGGTGTTCCCTGGTTGACGATGCCCTGTGTAATATGATTTATCCTTCGATTTTGATTTATCAATATCTTCATGCTCTTTTTAATTGCAACATGTCCTGAGATTTGTACACCAGACATTTGTTGATTACTGCTGTTGTTATGGTTTGTGGTTTTAAAAACTCATTCAGGCAAAAGGAGATGTGTGGGATAAGGTGCGGCACCGAGGCCTCTTTCAAACCTGAACTGCGCACCCTACCCATCAGGACCGGACACACGTCGGTGGATCGGCATTCAGCAAGGTACACCTGCTCCTTTTCATCCTGGGGCGGCTGGGACAGGCAGGAGATCTCCAGTCTGGGGGAGTCGTAAGAGAAAGTCTGCCACAATCGGGATGGTGATTTGATCATCAGCTTTTCCTCTTTGTCGTCTCCAGTGGACAAACTTGTCCCATCGGTTGTCGTATATGAGGGATGAAGAGGGTCTCCACAGCTGAAGAGGCAGACTGAGAGAAGCCGGAAGCTTCCATCTTCTGCACGATACTTTCCCGGTGGTGAGATGAAGATTCTGATAAAAGATGTCCGACATAGTGACATGATCAACAAGAAGACACCTTGGTGAAGAGTCCATTCCGTTGCTACAATTTGACCCCGGCGAGAAAGGCTGTCTGCCATTATGTTAAACTTCCTGGGTGAGGCCTGCAAAGGCAAACAACTGTGTAGTCTGTCATCGGGGAGCTGGTGTTGTTATGGTGTCCATGGCTATGAGGACCGAGGAGCGAGAGAGTAGGACTTTCCAGTGTCTGAGAGCATAATATACTAGCCACATAAAGAAACTGCACGGAGAAAATATATTCTGGATTGAAATACAACACAGCAAGAACAAAATGATGCAGACGCTGTAGCAGCTGAATGATAAGAAAATGTCAACGGGACCTGAACAACATCTGTTACGATGACGTCAGAAGATCAAAATGGAGTAGGGGGTCAAACGACGAAGTCACAAAGTCAATAACGGGTATGACCACCCTGTGCGTGAATCACAGCAGTGCATCGGCAACGCATGGAGTCCACCAAATGGGCATGGAAGGCCTGGGGAATGGCCTGCCATATCCTCCTCAAATCCTGTGCCAAGTCACGGACGTTATCTGGAGGATGTGGAAGACGATGCAGACGGCGCTCCATTTCATCCCACACATGCTCTATTGGGGAGAGATTTGGAAAATTTGCAGGCCATGGCAGTAACATGACATTGTTATGGTGAAGGAAATCCATTGCGACCCCAGCCGTGTGAGGACGAGCGTTGTCCTGTTGAAATGTCAATCCCGGGCCATGACGTTGCAGGAAAGGAATGACCACAGGCCTCAGAATCTGATCTCTGTAGCCAACACCGGTGAGACTGCCCTGAACAACCACCAAAGGGGTTCGGTGCTGTGCTGTTATCCCACCCCAAATCATCACGGAGCCACCTCCAAAACGATTCCTCTCCACAATACAGTTGTGTGCATAAAGTTCTCCCAAACGCCGGTAGACACGTTGGCGCCCGTCACTGTGGGAAATGTTGAACCTCGATTCAACATTTCCTCACTATATTCGAGGTTGGCAAACATGATTTCGACACCATCTTAGAGGGTTGACGCGATGACGGTGTGTCAGGATGGGACGTATGGCAGGGCGTCGTGGTCGAATCCCGTACGGACGTAAACGATTCCTGACAGTGTTGGGATGGATACGGCGCAGTCCAGGAATTGTCTGGGACGTTGTTACTGCCGTTTTGAACCTGTGTCGGAGATGTGTAACTCGAATCCATCTGGCCTGTCTTGGCGTCGTTACTCTGGGACGTCCTGAACGTGGGTGGTCGGCAACGTCATTTGTATTCTGATAACGCCTCACCAATACCGATATCGTGTTACGATGGCATTGGAAATGTGTTGCCACCTGTTGTTGCCTCATTCCCGCTCGGATCATTCCAATGGCTTCATGACGCTGTGCAGCTGTCAATCTTGGCATGATTTGCTTGTGATATGCTTGTGTCTGCGCCTGAGAAGTTTTGAATTTTTGAATGACCACAGATCATGCTTTCCAAAGTGACAGCGAAATTTGAGTTGCACATGCTGTGTACAGCGGCACAGGATGCACGTGCAGTAACACATTGCACGTTCATAGGCCCCCCATCAATGACGTCATATCGCATGGCACGTGCATGAGCGTTTGAATGTCTCCAATAATTGCTGTGTTCAGACCTATATTTCATATGTGGATGGTGTGCCCTTATATCTATATTTTCTCCGTGCACAGATTCTTTATGTGGCTAGTATATATTGCCTTCATTTCCCTGCAAAATGACCAAAGACCCTTGATCTTGAGATCGTCCATGTCAGCTCCCTATCCTGAGTCGGAGGCGTCCGTAAACCAATTGATGTTCTGGGGACGGGATCCCTGCGTGTCCATCAAAGTAATTAATTAGTTTAAGAATTCAAACGCTCTGGTTGGGGCAGAAGAGACATCGTCCAACAAATGGGCCGAGATGGGATCGTGTGTATCATCGAAAGATCTTTGACAAAGCGACCTCCCGAAGGACAGAGGCAGCCAATGTGGAGTTGTAATCCGGCCCCAATCTTTACGATGTCTTGTACTGGTACGATCTGACTAGGTCGGATGAACCAGAAAACTGAGGTACGTCATGGATTGAATCAAGAAGACCATACTCTGATGGAGTTGGCCTTTGTCTTGACCCGCCGCAAGGAAATCGTCCCGATACCCATGAAGACGTACAAGATGTAGATGGACGAAGCTGATAATTGGAGCCATAACCCTGGTGAAGAGCCAAGGGGCTATTGCAGTCCTAATGGCAGGACACGGAACGTCTCACGTTGACAGTGATGAGGGTCTGGAATACCACCCTAACTATCATCATCAATATTGTAATCATTTCATATTTAATGTTTCTTTTTAATGATACATAACTTTATCGTTTGAGAGATACAGAGATAACTTTAAAATAATTTTGAAAATAAACGTTTTAGGCGTCACAAACATGTATCTGGTATTAATTTTGTGTCATTTTGAATGTTATTTAAGAGTTTTCTATATGACAATGATGTGAAAACATTTATATAGACAAGGATGCCGGAGACAAAATACATCTTTTAATTTAAAGGGACCAGTTGGGCAGTAAGAAACAGATCGCGATCGCCGTTACGTTGTGAGGAATGATGAAAGGTCCCCGATGAAGCAAACGTAAAATATTGCTTTCCCTGCATGTTGTGCAGCGTCTATGTGCTCACTTTATGCTGCCTTAATGAAAGTGCGCCCGACAGTGTCACTGTGGTACATTTATGATATCTCAAAACAATTTTAATTTCAAAGGACAGATTTCATAATTGTTACAGTCCATACGTAACAATTAAGTCTTGTTTCAGTCATAAAACTTTCGCTGATTCCTCCAAAACGGTGATCGACCATGTGGTCCTATTACCGGTAGCCTTCCCCAAAGAGAGATACTGCTTGTATGGTGTTTTGGGACAGAAACTGTCAATAACTGTATGTTTGTTTTACAAGTGTTTTAATTCAGTTGGGTTGAAGTATATTATTGTTCTGCTTCAGTGTGGATGTGTGTCCTTACACAGCTCTGGCATCAACACAAGTTTTCAAACACCACATGAAATGAAAAGAATGAAGACACAGTTATCTTTGATAATTTTATTATTACCATTGTGGGAGTTTGACATGCAACAGGAGGTGTCATCATGTTACACAAGGCTTTCCTGAACACATACATGAATTTAAAGTTTATGAAAAATAGCAAATGGAGCTAGTAGTTGAATACAGCCAACTAGGTTAGGATTAATGAAGCAGTGGGTTCCCCCTCCTGCTGCTAGCACAGAGTGATGAGGAGTCTGTACATCCTACATGTGTATACACAGCAGTCACACAGGCTGCTTCCCCCTGCTACAACATGCACACACACACAGACAGCCGCTGTGGCACCCAATGGTCAGCCCAAATCTGACTATAATACCATGATTCAATAATTCTAGCTTAGTGGTTCCTGGTTGGTATTGAAGATAGGGGCATACTCCACCCAGAGATGCAAGCTCAGGCAGTTATAGACTGCTCTACTATGCAGACAGCAGACAGCAGCAGCAGACTAACATACACAATACTAAACAAAATCACATGGTGAGATCCTGGCACTGTCACATTATGAGAGTTGCAAGTTGCGCTCTTGCTCCACTGATACATGAAGCTACACAACATATCCTGCAGCACTGAAGCAGCCATGGCTATAGAACTTGTTCATAAACATTGTATAACAAATAACAAACTGTCCATGCTACTATCACGGTGTTGTTCCACTTACCAGATTTCAGGGACTAAGGGTACTAAATCAATATTCAACAACAAATAAATGATTTTGATCATTAGTTTGCTCTAATACATGGAAGACCTTAACCAGTTCTAAAAATTCCTGGAAGTGAGTTCAGTAGGATTCAGTGTAGACGTATCTCCCAGACGTGTGGTAGAAGCACACAGCTGACAACAGTGCATGAGCCAGCCTGCCACACAGCTTGTATCTGAACACATTATTGCATATACACAAACTTCAATATTTACAATCAGTAATGCATGCAGATACACAACGAAGCAAAGTATTTACAATATATACCAATGTTGAAAATAAAATTTGTCAAATCTTTAAACACAGATTTACATATGATGTCTGTCCTTATGGAACGAATATAGAAGTGAGATTATTTGATATAATTTCAGAAATATACAGATCATATTGAAGGTAGAACCTGTTACATACTTATATTTGCCGGGTCAATAATATTCTGTTACTAGGGCTACTCACAACCACAGGTACCACTTATATATATATATATATATGTATGTATGTATGTATATGTATATGTATATGTTGGCTACAATGATTGGGCTATGTCTGATCTCACCAATAGCTAACAGCAGAAATTCTGAGTATTTCTGGATGCAGACTAATACTTATCTGGGCAGCTCAACGACAAAGGAGACTCCCATGTTACCAATCCAGTGAAGGCACGATGGCTACTATGTGTCATCTAGGAAGTGTACAAGCTCACAGCCTGTCACAGTGCTGGACCATTTCTATAGTTGACTAACAGGAGCACACCTGACATCCTCTATCAATGGAGCCTGCATGACTTGCTCTTTTGATTTATATAAGATGTTATAAAAACTCAGAATTGAACTAGTTAATAAACATGGCTGCAGTGCCTTCTGTGTGTAAGAGTGGACAGGCCACAGCACTCGACATGCCTGGAATGTCTCGCTAAACCACAGCTTACATAGCAATATTACCTTGTGTCACTGTGAACCCAGTAATATTACCTGTGTCACTGTGAACCCAGTAATATTACCATGTGTCACTGTGAACCCAGTAATATTACCCTGTGTCACTGTGAACCCAGTAATATTACCATGTGTCACTGTGAACCCAGTAATATGACCCTGTGTCACTGTGAACATGTAATATTACCTTGTGTCACTGTGAACATGTAATATTACCTTGTGTCACTGTGAACCCAGTAATATTACCTTGTGTCACTGTGAACCCAGTAATATTACCTTGTGTCACTGTGAACCAAGTAATATTACCTTGTGTCACTGTGAACCCAGTAATATTACCATGTGTCACTGTGAACCCAGTAATATTACCCTGTGTCACCGTGAACATGTAATATTACCTTGTGTCACTGTGAACATGTAATTTTGGCATGTGTCACTGTGAACCAAGTTATATTACCTTGTGTCACTGTGAACCCAGTAATATTACCATGTGTCACTGTGAACCCAGTAATATTACCATGTGTCACTGTGAACCCAGTAATATTACCTTGTGTCACTGTGAACCCAGTAATATTACCTTCTGTCACTGTGAACCCAGTCATATTACCGTGTCACTGTGAACCGCGTAATATTACCATGTGTCACTGTGAACCCAGTAATATTACCATGTGTCATTGTGAACATGTAATATTACCTTGTGTCTCTGTGAACATGTAATATTACCTTGTGTCACTGTGAACCAAGTAATATTACCATGTGTCACTATGAACATGTAATATTACTGTCACTGTGAACCCAGCAATATTACCATGTGTCACTGTGAACCCAGTAATATTACCTTGTGTCATTGTGAACCCAGTAATATTACCATGTGTCACTGTGAACCCAGTAATATTACCATTTGTCACTGTGAACACAATAATATTACCATGGGTCACTGTGAACATGTAATATTACCTTGTGTCACTGTGAACCCAGTAATATTACCATGTGTCACTGTGAACCCAGTAATATTACCTTGTATCACTGTGAACATGTAATATTACCATGTGTCACTGTGAACATGTAATATTACCATGTGTCACTGTGAACCCAGTAATATTACCTTGTGTCACTGTGAACCCAATAATATTGCCTTGTGTCACTGTGAACCTAGTAATATTACCTTTTGTCACTGTGAACCCAGTAATATTACCTTGTGTCACTGTGAACCCAGAAATATTACCATGTGTCACTGTGAACATGTAATATTACCATGTCACTAACCCAGTAATATTACCATGTGTCACTGTGAACCCAGTAATATTACCTTGTGTCACTGTGAACATGTAATATTACCATGTGTCACTAACCCAGTAATATTACCATGTGTCACTGTGAACCCAGTAATATTACCTTGTGTCACTGTGAACCCAATAATATTACCATGTGTCACTGTGAACCCAGTAATATTACCATGTGTCACTGTGAACCCAGTAATATTACCTTGTGTCACTGTGAACCCAGTAATATTACCATGTGTCACTGTGAACCCAGTAATATTACCTTGTGTCACTGTGAACCCAGTTATATTACCATGTGTCACTGTGAACCCAGTAATATTACCATGTGTCACTGTGAACATGTAATATTACCTTGTAAGTAAGGATAACATGTATGGATAACAACTTCTTTATTACCTTCTATCACCTCTTTTGTGTACATAACAGGCTTCTCGACTCCAGTGTAACCACATCCCAATCTACTCAACTGCATAAACACTGCCTCATACCTATACATATGCTTGTCAACCATACTTTGTACATCACTTGCTTGATAATGGTGTTAGAACCTACAACAGAAATGTCACTCCTAATTGTAATAAAGAAGTTGTTCATCCATATATCTTATCCTTACATAGAACTCCAACTTCTAATTGCGCCTCAGAGAAGAAAATATTACATTGTGTCAGTGGACCCAGGAATTTTACCAAGATCACTGAAACCGCACTGAACATTAATTTTTACTCTTATATAAAGTTATCTATTAATGCACTGGCCCCTTAACAGAACAAGACATTTCCAGGAGATAGAGGACATTGCATCCCTCCCAACTGATGTAAAGCTTCCCTCACAGACATGTTCCCTCCATAAGATCCAGGCAGCAGGTTAACGTGGTGGGAGGTGAAGCTTCCCTCACAGACATGTTCCCTCCATAAGAAGATCCAGGCGGCAGGTTAACATGGTGAGAGGTGAAGCTTCCCTCACAGACATGTTCCCTCCATATGAAGATCCAGGCAGCAGGTTAACGTGATGAGAGGTGAAGCTTCCCTCACAAACATGTTCCCTCCATAAGAAGATCCAGGCGGCAGGTTAACGTGGTGGGAGGTGAAGCTTCCCTCACAGACATGTTCCCTCCATAAGAAGATCCAGGCGGCAGGTTAACGTGGTGGGACGTGAAGCTTCCCTCACAGACATGTTCCCTCCATAAGAAGATCCAGGCAGCAGGTTAACGTGATGAGAGGTGAAGCTTCCCTCACAGACATGTTCCCTCCATAAGATGTTCCAGGCAGCAGGTTAACGTGGTGAAAGTGAAGCTTCCCTCACAGACATGTTCCCACCATAAGAAGATCCAGGCAGCAGGTTAACGTGATGAGAGGTGAAGCTTCCCTCACAAACATGTTCCCTCCATAAGAAGATCCAGGCGGCAGGTTAACGTGGTGGGAGGTGAAGCTTCCCTCACAGACATGTTCCCTCCATAAGAAGATCCAGGCGGCAGGTTAACGTGGTGGGGCGTGAAGCTTCCCTCACAGACATGTTCCCTCCATAAGAAGATCCAGGCGGCAGGTTAACGTGGTGGGGCGTGAAGCTTCCCTCACAGACATGTTCCCTCCATAAGATCCAGGCAGCAGGTTAACGTGATGAGAGGTGAAGCTTCCCTCACAGACATGTTCCCTCCATAAGATGTTCCAGGCAGCAGGTTAACGTGGTGAAAGTGAAGCTTCCCTCACAGACATGTTCCCACCATAAGAAGATCCAGGTGGCAGGTTAACGTGGTGAGAGGTGAAGCTTCCCTCACAGACATGTTCCCTCCATAAGATGTTCCAGGCGGCAGGTTAACATGGTGAGAGGTGAAGCTTCCCTCGCAGACATGTTCCCACCATAAGAAGATCCAGGCGGCAGGTTAACGTGGTGGGAAGTGAAGCTTCCCTCACAGACATGTTCCGTCCATAAGAAGATCCAGGCAGCAGGTTAACGTGGTGGGAGGTGAAGCTTCCCTCACAGACATGTTCCCTCCATAAGAAGATCCAGGCAGCAGGTTAACGTGGTGAGAAGCACAAGCAGGTGTACACAGGAAGAATGCCAGCTGTGTGGGTATTATGGTCATCATGAGGTGAAGGTGTGTGTGTCAACACTTCTCACAAACAACATGGCTGCACAAAGCTCAGTGGAGAAATAGTACATGCCAAACAGAGAAAAATAAGCTCTGACAGATAAAGATAACAATCACCAACAAATTATCAAAATATCACACTCAACTTGGATACCTTGAGAAGATATCTAGGTCTTTTCTAGATAAACAAAGTGATCATACCATATAATCCAGGTTATAGCACCAATAAGCTCTTCACTTTCCCTTTTTCTCCCATCTCAGGCCCCTCCTTCCCCTCATCCCGGTCCTCCCCACCCCACCCCCCTCACATCCCATCTCGACCAGCCTACCCACGCTCCCATGCCCAACTGTCCCTGTGTCATCCAACACAACCAGCCTGTGCCCACATAGACAGGATGACAAACTCAAAGCCAGTCAAACATTCAACATCAGCAGGATTGACAACATATTCATCACTGGAGACAACCCACAAGACCAAGGTGGATTTCATCATGGTTGGTATTCTGGGTATTTAGGAGGTACACTGTAAAAACTAGCCATCCTCCAGCACTAGGCATTTACATAATTAGGCACTTAATCCGATACATTGAGACCTGGAGAAGAATTCTTCAGTTTTATTGTCAAAAGCTGACATACACTAGGCATAGAGATGTTTGTGCAGCATACAAAGCTATTAAACACAATGTAGTTCCTGCAATGACCACTACATGCGAGTATTTTGATTCCAACAAGCTACCATTGCCAGACCTGCCAACCTGACACTACAGAAGAACTTACTATTTTGAACAAGGAGTCCATTAACTATCAACTTCCAAGGGTCCTGTATAAAAGCCACAGAAATGCTCATAAAATCTTTGGCTGTGTTGGTAAATGCTTTTACATAGCCTATTCTCACTCCAAGAGTGGAGAGCTATGTCTGTCCCGTGCCTCCCTCCAGATGGCAAACTCTGCTGCCCTGGTGCATACTGAACACCAATGGCTATGTTACTCTCATATTGCACTGAAAGAATCTTTTCAGAATTTGGCAATGAAGACAACACAATGCACCACTCCACACGCGTTTCTAACAGGAGCTAGAGGTGCCTCCGTGGTGTCCTCTGTCACATTTTGTGTTGTAGAACCACCATACTCAGCCCTGAACAAGTAAGATATGTATGAAACACAACATTTACAATCCCACATTGCATAATCATAGTAGCTGCACAAAGATCAGTTGCATATAAATAGTACGATTTCTTAAATATAAAAGCTTGGCAAAAGTGAAGTGTGATTGGGAATAATTATGAGAACTTCCATATTAATGGTTAATGTAGTCGGCAGCTGGTGTAGATTGTGTGTCACAGCCTGTCTGTTCTTGTATGCTGATAATCAATGCTACATTGATGCGTCCAACTTCCCAGCACGAAGCACAACTTTGCAGAGGTAGTGGACATTGTCCATTAAGACACACTGTACACCATGGTAGAGATTACATATTTCAACAAAAGAAATAAGCCATAAAAAGTCAAGTATTCGATCACAACAACATTGTGCCTCCATGTTTAAGTGGCAACTATCTAAGTAATCACCTGGTTTCATCATGCTGGGAGTGAAGCATGTGGATGTGGTTTTCTGTTGTCAGACCTTGTGTCAGTGCAGCAGATCTCCTTCATTGGTTAGTGTTGGCTTGAGATATGCATGAGAGTACAGGTGTTGGTCAGTGTAGGGTCTGCATGGTACATTCTCACCACTCTACTAACCAGCAGACCCCCCTCCCTAGTGCTAGTACCAACTAAGGACTATATATGTAGACTGCAATTGGGCTTCCTGTTCTGCCCCAAACTGAGATACTGAAGTTGCTCATGACGTAAGGTTGGTTCCATCCCTGGGGATCCTGTGGGTCAGGCAGGTTAGTGATATGATACGGTGCCAACAGCCACCAGGAGGCAAAAGTTGGCCGGGGTTAGACTTCTTTGATAAGACCCTGCATGACAGGGTTGGGACAAGCTAGGCAATGTTGGGTCGAGTCCTCATGACCGAGGGTTGGGACAAGCTAGACAATGTTGGGTCGAGTCCTCATGACCGAGGGTTGGCTGGTAGTGTGGCAGACTTGCTGGCCATGGCGTGGCCACGCTGCTGGGGTCCATAGGAGGAATACTGCTTTGTGCCTCGTAATGTCCTGCAAGAAAAAACACAATATGAGGACAGTGGAGAGCATGGTCTAGATTCTTAAAAACATCTTAGTTTGGCTGAAAAAAGAAAGAAAATTGGTTCTCAGGCAATAGCTTTTGAAAATATTGTGCGGGCGGGCGGCCATTTTGTTGTTGTTGTTGTTGTGTACACACTAGTAAGAATCCAAATCCGTATATTGCTGTGTATAAGGCGAGTTTTTCATAACTAGAATTAGGAGGCTTTCAAGGTATGTGTGTGTGTGTGGGGGGGGGGGGGGGGTCGTCTTATACACAGGGTTGAGTATTTTATGGGTTTTTTTCCGCAACACATAGACATTACTGTGGGCACGGAACACCGGAAATACCATGTCAACAAATCCGTACTTAAATGCTCAAATTAATCATGTAATTACACTGTCTGGTTGTAGAAAGAGTTTTGTAGAATTTTCCTATTCGGAATATTCTATAAGAAATACGTTACCACTGTTATACCGAGGCTGCTGTCTCCCACAACTGCTGCTATAGCGAAATCTACCACAGAGATCTCAATTACCTCATGCAGCACGTGCGTAGCCACCTAGCTGCCATGTGACACCCTTCACTCTTGTCTCTAGCAAGAGCAAGTGCTCAAGGGACGGTCGAGCGGGCATCAGCCTAGTGGTAACGTATTACTTATAGAATATTCTGAATAGGAAAATTCTACAAATTACATTAAGTAATATGTTACCACTGTTATACCGAGGCTGACTACCAGAGTAGGCGGTGGGGAGCACCTACAACCCGAACCTGACTGCTCGTGTTCCTTCCGACCAGCGGAAGTAAACAACAAGGCGGAAGCACTCGATGCGCATGCTCCTAGCTCGGTGTTACCCTACAGGAATACCAAAGCACTGTCAAGCGCATACCGTAAGGCTCAATTGTCTTTGCCAAACGGTTGGTGACTCCAAACGGCCCCACTGGATAGGTATTTCATCGCCACAGCGGATGAGAACACAGTATCCGTGTGAGCTAAATCTTAGATCAGGTTAAACAGTCGAAAAGCAAGCCTACTTAAAGTATGCATTAGGCGCGTGACCTAATTCCAGTATTTGTAAGCATGAATCACAAGGTTGGGATACACGACAGACAATTAAATACATAATTGTCAAAATACAAATAAGGACAAAACACACAAAAAGCTGCCCTCACCTGTGGTGTGAGTGCGCTTGTTTGTGGGACCCTCACTCCTGTACCCAAGGGTGGGAACATTGGAGAAGACCCAGATTGACCACCATGCAAGGTCTGAAGCCTGAGGAGTTCGGAATTGCACTGGGCACACCCCTTAGATGACCGCTTGGGTCGCGATCAGCGGCCCAAGACGGTGCACACCCTCCACGTCTTCATCAGAAACCTTTCTGAGGTAATGATTGGCAAATACCGAGTCAGAACGCCAGTAACAACCTCTTACTATTCTGTGAAGAGAGATATTAGAGTGTAGGGCAAATGTTGCCGCTAGCGCCCTGATCTCGTGCGGGTTTGACCCTGCAACCGGTAAGCCCCGAGACCAGTACGCCAGATTGATGACAGAACGAAGCCATAACGCAATCGAGTTGTGAGTTATGTCAGCAGTCCGATTAGGGTTACACAATATGAACAGACGGTCACGCCCTTGTCTGCGTTCATTTGAAGCCTTAAGATAATACTTAAGGGCCCTAACCGGACACAGTGATCTGTCCTCAGTATCAGCAGGATGTGAGATTTCTTTGAGTGATCTTACACTGAATTCTCCGTCCGTATGGCCAAATTTCTGATTCTTAGCGACGAAGCCCATGAGCAGGCCCAGACGGACCGTTCCTTCGTCGCCCCTATCGAATCGTACTTTAGTGACATCGAGTGCATGAATCTCAGACACACGTGCCGCCGTGGCAAAGGAGAGGAGAAATGCTGTTTTCTCCAAGTCACATGCCGAAACGAAGCACTACTCAAGGGTTCATACGGAGCTTCCGTAAGTGATTTCAACACTAAGGAAAGATCCCAGGCCGGTGCCCGAAGGCAGCCTTTCTTAAGATCTTTGGCTCTTTTGAGACAATAGCAACGTCCCGTACCATAGCAACGGAAGAGACATAGTTGGCAATGGAACCCCCAGAGAGTTTCCGGGTCTCTCGTAAGTGAGACATGAAACGAGCAATATGCTGCACAGATACCTTATCTGGCGAATGAATATGATGTTTACAACACCACTTCGTGAAAATAGCCCAACGTGCATTATACACCTTCTGGGTAGAATCACGATGCATACTAACGTATGCCTGAGACGCCCGACGAGAAAAACCTTTACACCTCAGCCGCTCGGTGACAACATCCACGCGTGCAGATTGAACTGCCCTGCGTTTGGATGAAGTTGACGGGTGTGAGGGTGGATCAGGAGATCCGGTCTCACAGGCAGTGGAAGTGGCATCTGTGTGGCCTGGGCCAGCAAGTCGGGGTACCACGATCTGTTCGGCCACATGGGCGTGATCAGCACCATTCGACAGCGCACTCCTCGGAGCCGGCTTAGAATGAGTGGTATTAACGCCGTCGGCGGGTAAGCATAAGCGTCCATGCCCGTCCAGTCTAACACGAGAGCATCGTGATCGATGGCCCTCGTGTCCGGGACTGGTGATACAAACAACGGGAGTTGATTGTTGAACCTGGTTGCGAACAGGTCGACCATCGGACGACCCAGACGTTCGCACAGTCACTGAAACAATACTGGGTTGAGCATCCACTCCCTGGGGCTCGGGACAGAGCGTCGGCAAGTACGTTCCTCACACCGGGGATGTGACAGGCGCGTACCTGGCACGGGACACTGTCCACCAGGGCGTAAAACTCGAACGTGAGATCAAGTAGCGAGTGACTGTGGGTTCCCCCCAGTTTGTCAACATAAGATTCTACCGTCGTGTCGTCGGTCTCCAGCATAAGCCGGGCGTAGACGAGGCAATGCTTCAAGTGATTGACTGCGTTGATCACTGCCTTGAACTCGAGGCAATTGATGTGAAGACCTAGTTCGTCTACACACCACAGCCTCGAGCTCACCTCCCCCTCTAGATGGGCGCCCCAGCCCACTAGAGAAGTGTATGTATACAGGTTCAACGTGGCCCGGAAGGGCCGCATAGAGACTCCTGATAAGACGTTGCAAGGGACCGTCCACCACTCCACATGCGGTTGGAGCCGATCCGGGAGGGTGACTGTCACACTGTTCTCCTCCTGTACTAACAACTGGATAAGAAACTGTTGCAGCGGTCAGAGTTGGAGACGACCCCGATCATTGCAGTCCGGGGCTGACACAAGCACCGCTATGACTTTGGCAATCATCACCTGAATCTTGTGCCACCAGTCTGGGGGGACAAAGAGGCGATGGGTCACCGTGTCGAACCGACCTCCGATGAACTTCAAGTTCTGTGAGGGGGTTAGCTTGCTCTTGGGGAGATTGACAATCCACCCAAAGTTCTCCAAGAGCCGAAGTGCGAAATCAAGCTGACGAGACAGCACGTCTGTCATTCGATTAGCAACTAGCGCGTCGTCCAGGTAGGCAAAGTACCTGACACCCCTCCTGTGGAGAGACCCCACTATGGGGGCGGTTAACCGGGTGAACAGACAGGGAGCGGACGATAAGCATCCTTCAGGTCGAAGAAGCGAGTCAGTCGGCGGGCATGATCAGCGCTTTCAGGTCCACCAAGGTCAACATTCTGAACTTGGGCGGCTTGTGCAGGTAAAACTCGTTGAACGATTTTAGATTGTGAATCATTCTGAGTTCGGCACTGTCCTTCTTGAGAACGAGAAATATCCTGGAGTAAAACCCCAGTGTTATTTCTGGTAGGGCTAACTCCCGTACCGCCATCTTCTCCACCAACCTGCCGATGGCATTGGCGAGGATGGGAATATCGGTTTCCGAATAGAAACCTGCTAACGGGGCAACGGTGAGTGTCAGATCCGCCTTGAGATCTAGCTGGTAGCCGTACCGGATCGTGTTGACCACCCACGGGTCGTCGAACACTTGTTCCCAATTCTCCCAGTAAGTCTGGAGTCTGGTTCCCACCGGGGAAGGGGAGGGGGGCCTGACAGGCTGCGGCAGGTGCAACTGTCCAGGGCTGAGTGACACGGGTTCGCCCACGGGCCAACCGAAGTTGGCGCTGTCGGCATACGAACCCCTCCAGTGAGAGTGGGCCCTTGCCATCCTTAGACGGCTTGGGCTTTCCCCAGTTCCCCTTCCTCCCTCAAAAGGGCTGCTGAGAGCACTTACCGGACTTAGACCTGCCCGTCGCAGCATCCTGGGGGGCAGACCGCTTAGGGGACCCAACAAGATCAAGTGTATGCCGAGAGGCCTTGGCAGACGAAGCAGCCTGTTGTTCCTTCAGAACCCCAAGGATCTTGTTATTGAAAAGGGTCCGCGCAGACCAAGGCTGCGAAAGGAGCACTTCCTGGTTGGCAGCGTCCAACCCCGAGGCAGCAAGATATGACTGGCGCCTCATAAAATGGCACGTGCCGGAAATAAAGGCATAAGCCCCGGCAACATACTCCAGGGAAGCAGTTAAACTGAGCAAGCAGTTATAAATGCGCTGGTCTTGGTCTGTGGGAGAACCTTCGACCAGATTGGCCACTGCAGCCAAGTAAGTGTCCCCATGAGACATGGCAGCCATGGAGTGCCGAGTGAGGGTGTCCAGCTGCTATAAGGTAGCCTGCGTTACTGTAGCAGCCGGTGCGGCACGGACACCCAACCACTCAACATGGACCTCCGAGGTAGGAACAGCCTCGGGAAAGGCAAGGTCATGTACCGGGAATGAACCCTTTCTCCATGATGGAGGAGGCAACGGGAGACCCTGACTGGAGGCCGCCGCGAGGCTTTCTCCAAAGAAGGCTTGATCCCACACAGCAAGGTTGATGCAGGGAAAGCCTTGTGGGAAGACTCATCGAATACCTCGGCGGAACCCACAGAGCCGTGGATTCCCTGCGGTACCAGCAGGGGCTTGGGCATGTCCTCAAAGAGATCATAAACCATGGCCACGCGGTCCTTAACCGATAGCGGGAGCAACGGTTCTGCGGAAGGAACGGTGACCACGGGAGCCGCCGGGGACGGAACAGCCAGCGGCCTATCCTGAGATAAGGCCGCCAGCTTGGAGTCCACAAGTTTTGCAAGTAATGCAGTGACGGAATCCCCAAGGGCCGCCAAGGGATCCGCTGCAGCCGTGGAGGTGGTACCCGCAAGGGGACCCCGACCGGAAGAGCTGGCCACCACAGGGATGGAAACGGACTGCGCATACAGCCTGTAGCGCTCGAACGCCGCAGGCCCCAGACCCTCGCACTGGGCGCACTGGGTGTCCCCGCAAGGAACCCTGCACCGCAGGCAATGATCGTGGGGATCCCGGGACGACAGAAACTTGCTGCACACCCCGCAACTCCTGGTAGCGGGGGCAGAGGGGGTGGAGCACAACAAAACATCCATGTCAGACATTTGTACTATGAACAAAGAGCAAAACATGGTTACAACACACGCACCACAAATATTCACAAACAAGCATTTTCACAAGGAAATAAACGAGCAATGCGAATATAGAACATACACATATAACATATAGAGGAATAAGTGATGTAAAAATAACCAAGATATACTAGAACAGGGGAATGTAAGATGCAATGTGCATACGAAACACCCCGCAAGTATATAGAAAAAAGGGCGGGAAACAAATTTCCTTTTGGCGGGAAAAATATTTCCAAGCACAGTTACAGCAAAGGCCCTGTAAAGCACAGTTCATTAGTAAAGAATAAACAGTAATAAATATCACCGAATGGTCGGAGAAACAGGAACGCTTGAGCAGTCTTATGTACGTCTTGCTTGAGCAAGCGAAGAGACAAGAGTGAAGGGTGTCACATGGCAGCTAGGTGGCTACGCACGTGCTGCATGAGGTAATTGAGATCTCTGTGGTAGATTTCACTATAGCAGCAGTTGTGGGAGACAGCAGCCTCGGTATAACAGTGGTAATGTATTACTTAATGTAATCATTATATATCTGGACTTATGTTGGTAATCTATTTAATAATTTTATTCAACATTTCATTCAATATTGTTCATTCGGCAAAATCGTTCGTGAAGTGATCGGAAGATCGCACAACTCACCGTTATTTACAGCAACCACGGTCATATTACCGCTATTGACGCCTTGAAACGAACTTTAGTGGATAGAGAATGGATATATATATCATAAATGCCATACATTGAATCGCTGAAAGTCATACTTGTTGTAGTTTGACTATTATATGTCAACATTAAGGTTTTGCAATCGCGGGCGCTTGAACGGTGATTCGTCATATTCTTCCATTCGAAAACATTTCCGGCAATGGCGATCAGCTGAACCAAAGTGCTACGCTTATGGTTATTAATTTATTTCACATATATATAATAAAGCTGCAACTACACATTATATTGGAATATATTATTCCTGACAAAATAATAGTTTCAGATACAATTCTTCCGCTCGTTGTATCAAAATTCTTTAAAGTTATATTATTGGCCGAATCACCGGTAGATTCCGAGAAAAGTGTATACAGCTGAATGCTACTTCCGGCTTAGTTTACGAGACAAGACGTACGGTAATCTTAATCTCTGCATATAAAACAATGCTAATCAGAACAGGAAATACAATTTAATCGGCTAATCATTATGTTTAGTGATGTTTTATTCAAATTTCAAATTTGTATTGACCAAGTTTAATTGATATCATCTGTTCCATTTCCCTGAATTCGCTGAAGGGCTACGATGTAATTTTTTTTTTTGCTGCGGAAGACAAACACATTTTTATTGCAAATGAATAGATTTTGTATGTACTAGTGATGTGCTATATTCTGATTCGCTTTATAGCCGGGGTATATAAATTAGCATCGATTTCCTGCTTATTTTACGAGACAAATAACCTCTGCATTGTCCCTCATACAGTACACAAATACCATTGAATTTGTATTTGAATACCATCATCATGTATGGTGATGTTGTATTGCAAATTTAATGTTTTCATTGACCAAATTTGCAAACAGCAAAGCAAGCACACAAACTCCTATTGCCGCCATGACCATAACACACTAGATGCGCAGTAAAGCAGTGCGCATGAAAAGGGAAGTAACTGCACGTTATATTGGATCGCATTGTTTTTAAGTATTGTAGCATTTCACAGTTGAGGTCGTGTGTTCGAGACGCGGAACATTAAAGGATTTTTTTCTTTTTTAAATGGAAATAAAAATGAAACGTGTGGCAGACTTTATGATGATGCGGCAGTGCCTGAGAACCAAGAATTATTTTTTTTAGCCTTAAGATTAATAATAATGAAAACGTCAAAAGACAAGATATCTTTATCTTACAAATCACTTCTAAATGCCTTTCAGAGAATTGATACAAACATATAATTTCAAAACTATCTTAAACTTATCAGAGAAGACTATCATAACTCTGACAGAGAACTCATTAGTGTTGGAGATTGAAAAAGCAGGGTGTTCCCCAATGACGTCATGGGAATTTCTCAGATGGAGATACCAGCAACATGGAGAAGTAATGTGAATTCATGACTGGCTGATGGTTGTCATCAGGTCACACTGTTTAACACACACTTATTTGAATGACTTTCTGCACAACAATACATATATCCGACATGTAAACGTTTTGTTCTTATGATAAAAGATGCCACAGTAGCTTGACACAATACAGAAAGACTGTGAACCGAGTTTGCTGAAGTTGTTATATGGTAAACCAGCAGATAAATCATACAATCAGCCCACTACAATATCATAATCTCTCTTGTGTCTTAAAGGCAGATCCTACAAAAAAAATTATGCATCTGAGCAACATATTTCATTTTCACAATGTAATCTCAAATACTGCTTGCAGACAGTTATAACCCTCCAGTAACATCGTCCTATTGTTCTCCAGTCAGGTTAAACCTCATAAACACGGACCTTGTAATGTCCCTGGGATTTTATAGGATATTCCAGCCATATTTACTATGTAATGTCTTATAATATCCCAGGTATAACATTAATACGACTTCCGTTCAGATTGTAACATGTAATGAAATGTAAAATCACATGACAAATGTTTTCTTTATATTCCCGAGGATCGAAAATGCAACGTTCGTATCTGCAGCCCAGTAAGTGTACCACTAGGCTACAGAGGCGTTGATAAATCACAATGCTCTTTAGAATGTCTTTTTCAAGAATTGTACACCAGCAACAGATATTTTACACCCGTTTCCTAAGGTTCATGGAGAAGTAAGTTTGAAACATAAAAATGGTGATCAATGGTGTTTTAAGTTTCTTTTTTCGGTCCATAAATTAGATAAAACACTTCCCCTCGTGCTTTTATGATATTTAAAACCCTTATCATTGGGATAAAACCTCAGGGGTAACTCCCCTCGGCTTAAGGTTTTAAATATCATAAATATCACTGAAGTGTATGAAGATTAGCTGCCCCTGAGTTATCCAAAAGGTCATGGTCATAACTACAGCAGCAGGCACCTTCCGTTTTTATCCGTCTCAAATTTTTGAAAAGGTGTGTTGTTTAAGCACAGACTAACACAGATAGAAATATAATCTAGGCTATCGACTTGATAGTTATTGGGATCGCTATTGCAATTAACAGCATTTCTGATATGACTCTGTGAGGCATTATTTGTATTTTCTGAAGAGTCAATTTGAATTGCACAGTTCAGTAAAATAAAAAGTCAATGTTTGAATGTAAATCATTATTTGTTTGAAACCAACTCTGTTATGAACATCTTCATACTTCATTTTGTTGATCAATGTGACCATACGCCTTTACACTATCAATAAAAGTGACAAATGCGCTTATGAACTGGGCAGCACAGGTCGCGAACTAGTCTAGGTTTCTGCTATATCATACGGGTACTCACAGGGAAAAAACAATAACACAGGTAACAACCTGTCCCGGGGAATTGCTTTACACCATGCCCCTAGCTTTAAGCTTTGAATAGACAGAGTGACCCAGTGACAACACAGGCATGATCAGTGGGTTTGTACCAGTATAATATCTCTACATTAAAAACAGACAACACTGAACTTACCCTAAATTTCCTGAACTGACAATACCCTTTTTGGAGACCTTTTTACTGAGGTGTTGCACCCAGAGTTTCTGCTTCTCTGAGGATTCTGCTAACAGTATCATCTCCTTTGCCTGTATACTGGAATCATACGTGACTGAAAACAGAGGGCATGTTACTCACACACTGTTTAACAATGCAGTCAATCATATTATGAGTTCAGTGAACGCAGCTTTAACCAGTACTTCAGTTACACCCCATTAGACTGGCGTTTCTAGGGATAAACATGGAACAGGCTTACGTTGCACCCTAGATCTCAGGGCCACCAATGTCCTCTGAATATGCTCCTGGAAAGAGTGATGGTGGATTGTTTGTTGTTTAACACTGCACTCAGCAATATTCCAGCTTCATGACAGCAGTCTGTCAATAATCGAGTCTGGACCAGACAATCCAGTGATTAATATGATGAGCATCGATCCACGCAATTGGGAGACGATGACATGCATCAACCAAGTCAGTGAGCATGCCCACCCGATCCCATTTGTTGCCTCTTACAACAAGCCTAATCGCCTTTTATGGCAAGCATGGGTTACTGTAGGCCTATTGTGAACACTGAGGGAAACATAATCAACAGTGTCAAGGAACACAGTCGGAACTATTATCTTACCTTTACAATATGCAATGAACTCTTCATTCTTGTCAAAATGATCCTTGTGGACTTTTACATGACATCCTGCAACAAGAAAGTACAAATACATTTTAGTTTATGTGGCTTGAGAATACCTACTGGCAATTTTCATACACACTCCTGAGGGAGTATGTGGCCCCGTGGACCTGGTACTCACTCTTGCACTCCAGCGCAGGGGGTGGGTGCAGCATATGCCACACCGGCTTGTTGCAGGAGTCACACGTTGTCGGCGTGCGGAAGTGTAGGGGGATGAAGTCATGGCCCTTGTAACAGAGAACACCAGCTCTGTCCTGTAAAATAAACATACACAGGCTTGAAGCGTGAGACTCCAACACTGGCAGTAGGTTGAGCAAGTCGGCAGAGGGGCCTTCACGTGAGATGTGGCCTGTGTACTGACCTGGCTCTGGTCCTCCTCCGGCTTCCTGATAGCACTCTCCCCCTCAGTTGCATACAGGATCTGTAACACACCAACACCACCCACTCAGCAGGGATTCAGTGGGGCTAGTATGCTGATAGCATTTGTAATCTTAAGACCCATTTATCTTTATCATCAGGGTAATGGCTCCTCAACACAGTATACATGACAAGAGTCTGTAAGTTCAACACGATCATAATAAAACCCACCTAATAAGGAGGTAGAATTTGGCCAATATGACTTCAAATAGAAGCACTCTAGGTGTCAGTCTTTGATAGCATAAAACCAAGGTATATTAGTTGCATAGCTGTTGGGGCTAACTGTGAGGCAGTAGTCTCTACAGTTTACAAACAATAGCACTCCTCAGTATTTTAGCTTTTCTAATATTATCCAGTTTGTGTTGCCTTGACATATATGACACACCAAAGCTGCAGAGAAAAAAGGACTGTCTTATCTCTAAAGTACAAGGTATGAATGCAGTTTCTCATCAGTGTATTGGGTGTAGCTGGTGCTGCCCATCCTTCATCATCAGAGGACTCACCTGGAATATTCTTGGAACATCTTTGGCATCGGCCCTATAAACATCGCCCTGGGTCACTGGCCGCACATGGAATAATTTGCTGAAACATCAGATAACATTCCATTACTGCTTCATGCACACACCTCCTGCAGTGCACACATTGTGCAACCAAATGAGTTCAGGGGTCGAAGTGGAAGTGACAATATTACTCAACATGCTGAAGAAAGCCAATAGGTATTTCAGCGATGTCATTGTCCCTGACGCCATGCATGCTGCCTATTCTGAATCACTATGCAAAACTCAATAATCATGAATAAACTATAAAGATCTTATTCCTGTTGGATTGTGGAGGTACTGGTTTTAGTCCAAGTAACGAGATGGTTGGTATTGCCCTGGTAGGCTTTCTTAAGCTTTTTGACTTTTCACCTGTATCTTCCATGTCTTTCTGAAAGTTTCACTGAGCAGCCGTATGTAGCTGAAAGGCTAGGTGCTATACAAGTGCATTTATTTTATTTTTTATTACCTAGTCACTTAAAATAATGCAAATATTTGTAATCTTGTTACAAACAACAGCCTAAACAAACATATTATCATTACTTTTCCCACCAGCCAAAAATATCTCAAAACATGACAATCCTTGAAAACTTGAATCCCTTACTTACTCTATATCTAATATTACAGATGGCGCGGAATTCATTTTGTCGGCTTCACTGTTATAGAAGAGGACTTTTCTGCTGCTGATGACAACGTAACTCTTCTTCCACCCATACTTCTTGATGTTGGAGCGACTTGGGACTGCCAACCAGCCCTCCATATGAGAGTCTGAAACAATGTGGGACATTCAACCGTAACTCCAAATCACATTCACTTCTTGCATACAACACCAAACAAGCAGCTATCATCTGACCCAGTTAATGATCAAATACTTTGCTGACCCACCTTGATTTTCCTCCAACACTGTATCTTCCATGCTACCACTGTTGACAGATGCGGAGTCCATGTTGGTAACGGAGAGTTTCTGCCGAAGCATTTCGATCTCTGAATCCTTGGCATCCATCTCCATGGTGAGTTTCTGGCGGATCTGGCTCTCCTCGTACACGATCTGCTGGGAGTCGGAGATGTCACGCTGCATCTTGGCCACCATCTGGTTGTACTTCTCCTTCTCCTGGACACAACAGCAGTAGAGTGTTAGTTGCAGTCAGTCTACATGGCCAACACATGGGAACCACCATGACCCATTCAGCGAGTACTTACCATGGTGAGCTCCTGCTGTAGTTTCCTCAGCTCCTTCTCCTTCTTCTTGAGGTCTGCCGCACTGGCCTTGCTGGACTTGTGGGGCTGGTACTCCTTGCGGTTCATGATTTCGGCCAGCTTGTTGACAGCCTGGATTTTCTTCATCCTTTCTTCATCCAGCTGTTTCTTCATCTTCTCCCATTCTGACTGCTTGGAATTTTGAGCCTCTGTGAACAGAAATATCACAGATCAGACACATAGCTTTTCACAAACACATCAAGGATGGGAGGCCCCGAAGATTGATTTGCATTTGACTGTACATGTGTTTTAATGTTTGGCAAACTATATGCATCAAAAGAACATAAAAGACCCATTATCACTGAGCAACTGATCCTATGATCCTAGCCTCAAAGTCACAACCATGGTCGGGTTTGGTTTGTGTGTTGTTAAACGCCACACTCAGCAACATTCCAGCTATATGACTTGGAATCTTGGAAACTCCTGCAAGAAGATCTCTTACAACAGAAGGTTAATCTGAAACAACTTTCTCAGACTGAGGTAAAGATCCACAAACCATCTGAAAGTTTCTTGATCCTCATGTTAAGATCATCATTTTCCTGCTTCAGCTTCTCAATGTTGTTAGCATAATCCCTCTTGGACTCCTCGATCTGAAACAGCACATAAATGTGGCATAACATCACCAGCACACTCAGCAAACCCGGTAAAGCAAACCCATGATATACAGTCGGAAATAATTGCTGGCAGTTTCATTACTGAGTCCAACTGTCCCAGCACTACATGGTGTGTCAAACGGTTCCAGCACTACATGGTGTGTCAAACTGTTCAAGCACTACATGGTGTGTCAAACTGTCCCAGCACTACATGGTGTGTCAAACGGTTCCAGCACTACATGGTGTGTCAAACTGTCCCAGCACTACATGGTGTGTCAAACGGTTCCAGCACTACATGGTGTGTCAAACTGTTCAAGCACTACATGGTGTGTCAAACTGTCCCAGCACTACATGGTGTGTCAAACAGTTCCAGCACTACATGGTGTGTCAAACTGTCAAAGCACTACATGGTGTGTCAAACTGTCAAAGCACTACATGGTGTGTCAAACTGTCCCAGCACTACATGGTGTGTCAAACGGTTCCAGCACTACATGGTGTGTCAAACTGTCAAAGCACTACATGGTGTGTCAAACTGTTCCAGCACTAGATGGTGTGTCAAACTGTCCCAGCACTACATGGTGTGTTAAACTGTCCCAGCACTACATGGTGTGTCAAACGGTTCCAGCACTACATGGTGTGTCAAACTGTCCCAGCACTACATGGTGTATGTACCTGGTGTATGTACCTGGTTGCCTCAGCACTATACTGTGTATGTACCTGGTTGCCCCTGCACTATACTGTGTATTTACCTGGTTGCCTCAGCACTATACTGTGTATGTACCTGGTTGCCCCTGCACTATACTGTGTATGTACCTGGTTGCCCCTGCACTATACTGTGTATGTACCTAGTTGCCTCAGCACTATACTGTGTATGTACCTGGTTGCCCCTGCACTATACTGTGTATGTACCTGGTTGCCCCTGCACTATACTGTGTATGTACCTGGTTGCCCCTGCACTATACTGTGTATATACCTGGTTGCCTCAGCACTATACTGTGTATGTACCTGGTTGCCCCTGCACTATACTGTGTATGTACCTGGTTGCCCCTGCACTATACTGTGTATGTACCTGGTTGCCCCTGCACTATACTGTGTATGTACCTGGTTGCCCCTGCACTATACTGTGTATGTACTTGGTTGCCCCTGCACTATACTGTGTATGTACCTGGTTGCCCCTGCACTATACTGTGTATGTACCTCTTGCCCCAGAACTATACTGTGTGTGTACCTGGTTGCCCCTGCACTATACAGCATGTACCTGGTTGCCCCTGCACTATACTGTGTATGTACCTGGTTGCCCCTGCACTATACTGTGTATGTACCTCTTGCCCCAGAACTATACTGTGTGTGTACCTGGTTGCCCCTGCACTATACAGCATGTACCTGGTTGCCCCTGCACTATACAGCGTGTGTACCTGGTTGCCCCTGCACTATACAGCGTGTGTACCTGGTTGCCCCAGGACTATACAGTGTGTGTACCTGGTTGCCCCTGCACTATACAGCGTGTACCTGGTTGCCCCTGCACTATACTGTGTGTGTATCTGGTTGCCCCTGCACTATTCAGTGTGTGTACCTGGTTGCCCCTGCACTATACAGTGTGTGTACCTGGTTGCCCCGGGACTATACAGTGTGTGTACCTGGTTGCCCCTGCACTATACAGTGTGTGTACCTGGTTGCCCCTGCACTATACAGCGTGTGTACCTGGTTGCCCCTGCACTATACAGTGTGTGTACCTGGTTGCCCCTGCACTATACAGTGTGTGTACCTGGTTGCCCCTGCACTATACAGTGTGTGTACCTGGTTGCCCCTGCACTATACAGTGTGTGTACCTGGTTGCCCCTGCACTATACAGTGTGTGTACCTGGTTGCCCCTGCACTATACAGTGTGTGTACCTGGTTGCCCCTGCACTATACAGCGTGTGTACCTGGTTGCCCCTGCACTATACAGCGTGTGTACCTGGTTGCCCCTGCACTATACAGTGTGTGTACCTGGCTGCCCCTGCACTATACACGTGTGTACCTGGTTGCCCCTGCACTATACAGTGTGTGTACCTGGTTGCCCCTGCACTATACACGTGTGTACCTGGTTGCCCCTGCACTATACAGCGTGTGTACCTGGTTGCCCCTGCACTATACAGTGTGTGTACCTGGCTGCCCCTGCACTATACACGTGTGTACCTGGTTGCCCCTGCACTATACAGTGTGTGAACCTGGTTGCCCCTGCACTATACAGCGTGTACCTGGTTGCCCCTGCACTATACAGTGTGTGTACCTGGTTGCCCCTGCACTATACAGCGTGTGTACCTGGTTGCCCCTGCACTATACAGCGTGTGTACCTGGTTGCCCCTGCACTATACAGCGTGTACCTGGTTGCCCCTGCACTATACAGCGTGTGTACCTGGTTGCCCCTGCACTATACAGCGTGTGTACCTGGTTGCCCCTGCACTATACAGCGTGTACCTGGTTTCCCTGGGACTATACTGTCTGTGTACCTGGTTGCCTCAGTACTATTCAGTGTGTGTACCTGGTTGCCCCTGCACTATACAGCGTGTGTACCTGGTTGCCCCTGCACTATACAGCGTGTACCTGGTTTCCCTGGGACTACACTGTCTGTGTACCTGGTTGCCTCAGTACTATTCAGTGTGTGTACCTGGTTGCCCCTGCACTACATACACCCTGCACTATACAGCATGTGTACCTGGTTGAGACTAAACTCCTTCTTGTTGAGCTCGGACTTGTGTCTGGACATAAGCTCCTTGATCTCCAGCTCCAACATGGTCTTCTCCTTCTCCACGTCTGACAGCTGCTCCTCCGCGATGGTCCGTGCCAGCTGCTCCGAGTCCGCCTTCGTCATGGCCAGCTGCAACTGTGCTAGGCAATGGTCCCTGTGCAGGAGACATTCAGGCCATTAGCTATAGCTATCTTAGCAGAGAGCCTACATGCTACAAGTACTTTCATTATTTACATTTCTTTACATTAATGTTCACACAAAACAAAGTACACGTCATTACCATTGAGGAGACCTGTTCAGGCTGTACATTGAGCTATTTGTCCATGAACCACCCACCAGATGACCCCTACTGTTGTGTGACTTACTTCTCTACAGTGAGTGTGTGGATGTCATTGTTGAGATCCTGTATCTGCTGTTTCTTCTCACTCAGGTCTTCCTTCAGCTCCTTCACCTGCGTCTTGTACAGCGACTGAAACACAAGCCAGACATCACACAACTACTTCCACAAAAACAAAAAACGCCAATCTTTTAAAATTTTAGTTTAACAACTTTCAATATCCATGATAAATAGGTCATGAAGCAAATATAGATAAATATAGATTAATATAGATTAATATAGATTAATATAGATTAATATAGATTAATATAGATTAATAATTAATTTAATTCATTCATTTTCACAGAATAGCTACAAGTACATACTGAATTATATTTTTACTTCAGAAATACTAAACATATGAACAATTAGTCCAGGAACTTCATATTTAATCTCTATATACAATACTTACAGAGAAGTAGCTTTCAGCCTCCAGCTGTTCGCTGATTTCCTTTAACTGAAGGTCGTTAACAGAGGCATCGCTGGAAGTAAAGATTAGATCGAGTAAATCCTGTGTCTCCACCTACTTCCTGTTTTGCCCACATATACCAACGTTACCCACTACTCCACAGTGTCATTACTTCCCATCTCTGCCATAACACCTTCATACTTACTCAGACTTCTTCCTCATATCTTCTTCCATGTTTCTCTTATCTTCCCGGTAGTCGGCAATTTCCTGGAAACATGAAGAATTTATCTAAGGTCATCACAAAATTATCTGCCTTCTGAATGTTGGTTGGTTGTTACAAAATCTTGTTCTACAGGGAATACAAGCCATAAGACATAGAGAACCAAACTCCATTGGACTGAAGTGAGGAACTGTCTTGTTTCAATCTGCTGCTGTCTACAAAACATCTGCTTTGTCAAGATGATACCTGTTGTCAAGAGAATGTCTGCTGGTGTCAAGAGAATGTCTGCTGGTGTCAAGAGAATGTCTGCTGTTGTCAAGAGAATGTCTGCTGTTGTTAAGAGAATATCTGCTGTTATCAAACAAATGTCTGCTTATGTCAAGAGAATGTATGCTGCTGCTGTTAAAAGAATGTCTGCTGCTGTCCAGAGAATGTCTGATCCAGTCTTCACACCGTCTGTTCCTATCTACAAAACATCTGATTCAGTGACTGAGTTCATAAGCCTAAAGTGACACCTCGTTTACCTTAAGCAGTTGTTTTTCTTTGGCCTTGGCTTTTGTAAGCTCCTGGTTCTGTGTCTTGAAATCTCCCTGCATGAGGTTCCTTCTCTGTACCTCCTGTTCAACCTGTAAGCCCAGGTTCCGGCACTGGAAAGACAACACAAGAGTGCCCATCAACAGGCCATACAAAGGTGGTCTCTTCTTCAGTAGAACTAATATGATCTGAGGCAAGATCTCTGCCGCTCATCGGAGTCATTGTGTACCTTACAGCTGGCTGCTTAGAATACAAACATTAAACATTATAGTTGAGAAATCTACATTTTCTCAAAACAATACATTCATCTCTCTCCCATAAAATGAACCCAATCCCAATCTCATGATATCACAGCTATATGACTGTGTTGAGTAGCTCAAAGTGTGGAACAGACTGAAATATACTTGATAGAATTGACACCATGGTACAAATGCAATCAGGCAGATCCCAAAATCTGACCCACTGATCCCCAGTTACTTAGTTCATACTGAACACAAGCTCCTAGTTTGCACTTTTCATTGGTGCTCCCCCACATGAGGTATTCCATGTACTATACATGCATTAGCAGTGGTCTAACATCATCCAATGTACAATACATGCTGGGCCCACACTGCTTTATAACATGGTTGAGACAAGATGCCCACCTTCTCTGTCTCTGCGCGGAGTTCGGCCTGTAATGATGTGATCCTCTGCTGCAGCTGTGTCAGGTCGACTGTCAGCTCACTGTTCCTCTTCTCACTGTCCAGGCAGCGCTGCTCCATGTTCTGTCGCACCACCCGCTCGTGGTCCAGCTTGCTCTGCATATCTGTAGTGCAACACACATGCCCCTGTCAGCCAGCGTCACCTTCCCCCTTCAGCACCCATACTAGTCTTAATAGCTTACAGAGTCTACCAGATCAACTTGGTCCCTTGGCATCATTCTCAGAATGAAATAATATTTGCTTTGACTTTGATAGATTAGAGGCTCTAGTCAAGAAAAGATAAAACAAAATATACCTGAAAAGTAAGTTCAATATGCAATACAGTTATCTCTCAAATAACACTCTCGTCCATAAAATCCCAAGGAGGATATAAGTATGATGTGACAGGAGATTTGTGAGTCAAAAGACCAATTCAGGCATGACAGTGTTGTGAGAGTCCCACCTTTCATAGCCTCCATGTTGGCTTCCTCTGTGGACATGAGGATATTCTTCTTGTCTGCATTGTAGCGAGCCACCGTCTCCTTGTGAGACTGGATCTCTCCCTCCAGTTTGCGGTAGAAGTTGTCTCTCTCAAGTTCCACATTGGCCACCCTCTGGCAATAGATTCACCAGTTGCATTACATCTCTACCTCTTCACAGTAAAAGACAAGGATGGAATGGATGCACTGGAAAAATAGTAATATTTGCATGCGGTGTTGGAACCTACCTTTTCTAATTGCACAACAATGCTCTGCTTTTTCTGCAGCTCTTGACCATTCATACGCTCCTTGTCCATCATCCTGTCCTTCTCGTTCTGCAGCCCTCGGATCCGATCTGCAAGGAAACAGGAACTGAGTATCTCCTGACACAGTTTAACTCTCACATCATAATCGGGCCCTTGCCATTGTGACCTCCTCCACCACATGTAAACATGGCTGCCACACATGATAGACCTATCACTGATACTGCTGAATATGTGATGCTTCATCACAGCAACCCCTCCAATGTGATTCTACATCACAGCAGCCCCCTCCAATCACAGCAGCCCCCTCCAATGTGATTCTACATCACAGCAGCCCCCTCCAATGTGATTCTACATCACAGCAGCCCCCTCCAATGTGATTCTACGTCACAGCAGCCCCCTCCAATGTGATTCTACATCACAGCAGCCCCCTTCAATGTGATTCTTCATCACAGCAGACCCCTCCAATGTGATTCTACATCACAGCAGCCCCCTTCAATGTGATTCTTCATCACAGCAGACCCCTCCAATGTGATTCTACATCACAGCAGCCCCCTTCAATGTGATTCTTCATCACAGCAGCCCCCTCCAATGTGATTCTACATCACAGCAGCCCCCTCCAATGTGATTCTACATCACAGCAGCCCCCTCCAATGTGATTCTACATCACAGCAGCCCCCTCCAATGTGATTCTACATCACAGCAGCCCCCTCCAATGTGATTCTACATCACAGCAGCCCCCTCCAATGTGATTCTACATCACAGCAGCCCCCTCCAATCACAGCAGCCCCCTTCAATGTGATTCTACATCACAGCAGCCCCCTCCAATGTGATTCTACATCACAGCAGCCCCCTCCAATGTGATTCTACATCACAGCAGCCCCCTTCAATGTGATTCTACATCACAGCAGCCCCCTTCAATGTGATTCCACATCACAGCAGCCCCCTCCAATGTGATTCTACATCACATCAGCCCCCTCCAATGTGATTCTACATTACAGCAGCCCCCTCCAATGTGATTCTACATCACAGCAGCCCCCTTCAATGTGATTCCACATCACAGCAGCCCCCTCCAATGTGATTCTACATCACAGCAGTCCCCTCCAATGTGATTCTACATCACAGCAGCCCCCTTCAATGTGATTCTTCATCACAGCAGCCCCCTCCAATCACAGCAGCCCCCTCCAATGTGATTCTACATCACAGCAGCCCCCTTCAATGTGATTCTACATCACAGCAGCCCCCTTCAATGTGATTCTTCATCACAGCAGCCCCCTCCAATCACAGCAGCCCCCTTCAATGTGATTCTACATCACAGCAGCCCCCTCCAATGTGATTCTACATCACAGCAGCCCCCTCCAATGTGATTCTACATCACAGCAGCCCCCTTCAATGTGATTCTACATCACAGCAGCCCCCTTCAATGTGATTCTTCATCACAGCAGCCCCCTCCAATCACAGCAGCCCCCTCCAATGTGATTCTACATCACAGCAGCCCCCTCCAATCACAGCAGCCCCCTTCAATGTGATTCTACATCACAGCAGCCCCCTTCAATGTGATTCTTCATCACAGCAGCCCCCTCCAATCACAGCAGCCCCCTCCAATGTGATTCTACATCACAGCAGCCCCCTCCAATGTGATTCTACATCACAGCAGCCCCCTCCAATGTGATTCCACATCACATCAGCCCCCTCCAATCACAGTAGCCCCCTTCAATGTGATTCTACATCACATCAGCTCCCCTGCTTACCATTGAGTTCCATGGTGTGTTCTGACTCGTGGTTGCGGTTGTTACGTTCCTGGTCCAAGGCTGCCTGGAGAGCCACCAGTTCCCGCTCCATGTTCTGCCTGGCATTGACCACCTCCATGTACTTGTTGTTGAGGTCTGTGTAGCCCTGCTCTGTCACCGTGTAGCGCTGCCACCAGACAACATGACAACATCTTAGTTCTTCATGCAACAAGGTAAGTCTCAGACAGCACCAACAATCAAATATCTTCTGCATAATAATTCAAGACCAATGGGGTGAGTGAGTTAATGTTTTTAACGCTGCAATCAAGTCTTGACCAGACCGAGCTGTGACTGAAACCATGAGCGGCAATCCATACTGGATGACATGTCATCAGAGGAGTCACTGTATCTGACCAACTCATCCCGTTAGCTCACTCCCTCGCCAAGCATAGGTTACTGCTGATCAATTCTAACCCAGAATCCAAGGTTGTGGGAACAAGAGTGTATAGCTTCTGTTTCAATGTGCCTGAAATATGGTTCACAAAGAGTTTGAAGATCAGTAGCAATCGAATCCTTCCAGAACTTCACAGTAATGACACATTGTACTGTGTGATGGGACTTACCTGTTGTAACTCGCTGTACGTTCTCTTGACCTTGTTTGTGTTTTCGGTTTCTGCTCGCAACTTATCACTCAGGTCTCCAACCTGCAACATAGCAAATATATGCATACATTGCCATCTTTCACGGGTTCATGTAGGCAGTTTGTTAAATAACATCACAACAAACAGGAAATACTGCATACTTTCTTTTTTTAAAGATATTAATTTGGGGATTACAATTTTGTTAACAATGTACTGCCCTGTCCGTAACATCTAATGATCAAATCACTAATTTCATGTAGAGCTACCAATATTAAACCTGGCCATATAAAGTACATCACACATTCTGCACACAAACAATGTGAGTTACCATCCTATTGTAAACTTCTGTTAAATATATGTAAAACAATGCTGTACTGACTGTTCTCTCCAGACTGGCCACTTTCTCGTTGTTCTGCATGCTGCTGGACGTCATCTGGGCACGGTAAGTCAGCTCATGCTCCAGCTTCTTGGATTGCTCCCTCATCAGATTCTCAGCCTTTAACTTCGCCTCGGCCTCCATTTCCAGTTTCCTCTGAAGCTGAAAACAGACAGACAATCTCTTGTTACAGGTACATATCTATTGCAACCTGCACATATGCAGTCTCTTGCAATGTGTGCATCAACACATCTTTTGTAACATTTACACAACTTCTTGTAACCCTTGCACAGATACAACTACTTGTCACATATACAAAGTCTCAAGTAGTGAGTGTATATTGTTTTCTGAAACATTCAATACTCCAGCTACATCACAGCAAAAAGCTTTCCAATCTAGCACACCAGTGGTTGATAGCATGAGCAACCCACCATGCCATCATGGTAAGACACCATTAGCCAGGATTCTCACTGGCCATCCGATCCTCACTTTAGGAGGCTCTTACGACAAGCAGGATGTGGACTCTTCCCAAAGGGCAATCAATTGTAACATGTACACAACTCAACCTTATGTTCTGTTTCCATTGCCTTTTCATAGCACAATGACAGTGTACAGCAGAGTTTGCAGCAGGTACATCATCTGATATCCAGCTGGCGTATCAACCAGTGCACCAGCAGTGACAAGCCTACCTCCTTCATGTCGTGTTTGACCATCGCCATCGCCCTCTCCATCTGCGTCAGATCCTTCTTGGCCATGGACTCCTCCTGAGACGCCCGGTTCAGATCCTCCACAGCATTCCTGCAACATGGCACACTCATCAACAAGCAGCAACAGAAGGCTTCTGTACATGAATCTCAAGGCCACAAAAGAACTTCTAGAATTCTCAAATGAAGAAAGGCTCAGTTAGGGATGACAAACTTACTGGCTCAACCATTTTGGCCAGAAAGGTTGATGACAATCTCAGATCCAAATAGTGAATTTTTTAAAATACCTATATTTTTTCTCAATGTCATCCTTGGACGCCACGAGCTGTTTAACTTGGTTCTCCAGGTGCCGAGAACTGTCATCTCCACCACCACTGCTGCTCCCCGGAACAATAGCGGCAGACTGTGGAGGGACATACATAATGTTACACTAACACCTCCATGTATCTGATCCACTGAATGAAGGGAAACATCACTTTCATAACGGGAGTCTTAATAAATTCCATAATGTTTACTCAAACACTAAATAATAATTGACACAACATTTCAATATTTCTACCAACAGAATGTTAGACAGAAAACACTAACTGTATCTCCTTCTGCTATTTCCCATCACGGGACAGCCAACTTTAAAGGTTGGATACTTTTGAAAATTGGGACTCTGAGATCAGACTGTTATACCAACTACCAATCATGTACTTATCACCATGACAACAACAATAACAGATCATCTGCCCCTTCACTCCCCTGAATGACACCATGCATGAGGGAACTACAACTAAGCTGCCCCGAGTACTGTGCGTACAGAGATGCATGCAGAGATGGATATACACATCCCACTTCCATCCAGTAGCTAGAGATACAGAATACATCACCTCTAAAGTGATCAAATCAACATTAGTAACTTTATCAAAGGATAAGACATTTGATCTCAGTATCATAACTTTAACTATATATGAAGCAAAACTATAATTGTTGTGAAAAAAAAGGCAAAAATGTCTGAGGTTCCCTTGTTCCCACAGATAATGTCGTGTGATGATGAAGGTAACAGCTATGTTATGAATAACTGCAAGTAAGTTGGTAATGCAGGTCTTGAAACCATACAAGAAGGCTACTAAGTGAGGCCATCAGGTCAAGAAACTATACAAGTTGGCTACTGAGTGAGGAATCTGGTCATAAAACTATACAAGTTGGCTACTGAGTGAGGCCATCAGGTCAAGAAACTATACAAGTTGGCTACTGAGTGAGGAATCTGGTCAAAAAACTATACAAGTTGGCTACTGAGTGAGGAATCTGGTCATAAAACTATACAAGTTGGCTACTGAGTGAGGCCATCAGGTCATGAAACTATACAAGTTGGCTCCTGTGTGAGGGATCTGGTCATAAAACTGTACAAGTTGGCTACTGAGTGAGGCAATCAGGTCATGAAACTATATAAGTTGACTACTATGTGAGGGATCTGGTCATAAAACTATACAAGTTGGCTACTGAGTGAGGCCATCAGGTCATAAAACTATACAAGTTGGCTACTGAGTGAGGAATCTGGTCATAAAACTATACAAGTTGGCTACTATACTGAGTGAGGCAATCAGGTCATGAAACTATACAAGTTGGCTACCGAGTGAGGGATCTGGTAATGAAACTGTACAAGTTGGCTACTGAATGAGGTCATCAGGTCCTGAAACTATACAAGTTGGCTACTGAGTGAGGTCATCAGGTCATGAAACTATACAAGTTGGCTACTGTGTAAAGGCAATCAGGTCATGAAACTATACAGTTGGCTACTGAGTGAGGCCATCAGGTCATGAAACTGTACAAGTTGGCTACTGAGTGAGGTCATCAGGTCATGAAACTATACAGGTTGGCTACTGAGAGGTATCAGGTCATGAAACTATACAAGTTGGCTACTGAGTGAGGCCATCAGGTCATGAAACTGTACAAGTTGGCTACTGTGTGAGGCCATCAGGTCATGAAACTATACAGTTGGCTACTGAGTGAGGCCATCAGGTCATGAAACTATACAAGTTGGCTACTGTGTGAGGGATCTGGTCATAAAACTATACAAGTCGGCTACTGTGTGAGGCCATCAGGTCATGAAGCTATACAAGTTGGCTACTGAGTGAGGCCATCAGGTCGTGAAGCTACCATATTACGGAGGCAAGGGAGTAAACTGACTTTAAAAGTCCAGTTTCCATCCTTGCCAAACTAGGCTGGAATTCCTGGTCTCTATCGTAGCGCCACCAGAAGCAATTACGAGTTATGTCCCTTCTTAGCCTCTCCTATAGACCAATCAGATTCCGCGTCTCGTATCACATGCATTTGCTTCAAACAAAAGAGTGGCTCCCAGTCAAGATGATCTGATAGATAATCAAGGTCTATATTGTTATAAAACGGGTCATACATCGTGAAATGCATCAAATCACGTGAGCACCTTGATTAAAAACATCAAAAGATTTGGAAAATATTTGTTGACAACAAGTTTGCGGTGCACATGTTTTGTAAATCCTGCAATCAACCGAAATCTGCAGGACAGTTTACAAACCGGATTTCGATTTCGGTGTGCGATTTTGATTGGACTATGCATAGACTTGTTAGTCCAGCCATAATACCTGCCTAGTTCGGCAAGGGTGGAAACTGGACATTTATAGTCAGTTAACTCTCTTACTTCGGGAAGATGTGAAACTACAAGTTGGCTACCACATGCGGCCATCAGGTCATGAAACATTACACATTGGCTACTATTTAAACATAGCCTCAATAGTTTTGAATATTGCTATAAGTAGTCATGAACAAGGAAAGAGCTACACATTTGCCACACACCACAAAACAATATCCCATGACACTGTGGGCCAGTAAATAGGCCCTATTATTCATAGTCTAATCATCTCGTGGGAAGTTCCACCCACCTGGCTCAGGTCAGTGATGACAGATTGTCATACCCTATCTGGCTAGTTCGGTGCAGGTTAGTTTGTAGATGACAATGAAATTACACGAAGAATCAGGATTTGACAGTGTCCATCTCATTTAAGTAAAATCTTTTAATCCAATACAATACCTATCTGCATGAAGATCTGAGGACATTTCCATAGAAGATCTCGTCTGATGAACCCTAAACAAACTTTGATGTGTGGCTTCTAATACGATTCGGCTTCATTTGTTTATGTTTGTCCCAATGCTTCATTCACGCGTGATGAAAATTTTGAAGCCTCAACACTAACTGTTAATATGTCATTTGACACTGTCTCCTGTGGATGCGTCCTCAGAGCTTGATGCATAGACATATCGTATCAGAGCAAATGATCTGATTTTGTTGAGATTGTGACAGTGTTGGTCTTCCACATGCATGGGATTTTAGTTTCTGAAGATTTGGTGTAAACGTGAGAGCCTAATGATTCTGGCAGATGAGAAAGAAAAGATGGTATGATATGATCAAGTTTCATGTAATACAAATGGAGTTAAACCCATACATATAATATGCAACCTCTATAGAGAGATAAGTTACAGAACTGACATTCAAATTCACGTACGCAGAACTACACCAACTTGTAGAAAGTGACGACATACATATACCATCAATAGAACATATTACAAAACAACTGGTTGGAATTTGAACTCATTGAAGCCAATATCAATGAGTTCACCTTCCTCATTTATCCATGCATGACAACAAAATGATATATCAAATTATCTGAAATGTTTTCTATTTGTCTTGGGTGTAGTAGTGCCAATTTGAATGCCATGTGAGGAGGGAGGACAGAATGCAGGGATGGATTATGAACAGTATACACCAGGCACTGTACAGCTGTGATAACTCACATCAACACAATCCTGGGGTAAAGAAAGAAATAATTCAACATGAATAATTTCACAAAACAGGTACATGTAAGTAAATAATGCACACAAGTTGATAGCAAATGTCATCTTAAACATTTCCACAAAAAATGGAGCTATTTCATTACATCATAACGATGTCCAATTACTGAACGCTTTGAGTACACACTTAGTTGGTAAAACTGTCAACTCTAAACTAAATCACAATAATTAATACTTACTGGAGGTGATGTTCCTGAGCACAGCAATCTGAAACATGACAGCAGACAGCATAAAGACAGCCACACATGAATGCGATCAGAAGTAACAAGTATACTGCCATAGCCAATATCAATAGCTGTGGACACAGATTTCTGGAGGGAACAAATAGTCCTTATAAGTGAACTTAAGTTGTGGTTATTTGAAATTAACAGAAGTGAATGAATGAGTTGGACTTAAGGCCGCTTTGAACAGTATTCCAGTCATATCATGGCATGTCAGCTTGACATGAAAGCCGCAAGTGATGCAGGTCTCAGACGCTTACCACTAGGTGAAATCAACGAGCACAGGTATGTTGCTGACAAACCTAGAAACATTATCAGGGAGAAGCAGGATTCCAACCCACGATCAAAGGTTTGGGGCGTGGCCAAGGGATGCAACTCTGCGAAATGCTGTGCCTTAGATGACTGGGCCACCCGTGAGAGAAACAAGCCTACACCTACAGGCCTGAACATGTGTCCGGTGACTTACTGGTATTCTTTGTTATATGTAAATCCTATAAAGGGCAGATGGTTGCCAGCAAATGCTTTTAGTGGCTGGAAGTTTTCTTGTGGTGTGTCCTCCTTCTCAATGTCATCAAAGTTGCTGGTGTCTATGTCACTTGACAGCTCCGGTACAACGGGCGGGGCACCTAGCAATAGAGAGAGAGGGTCAGTGATGTCTACACAGTTGTGTCATAGCCTGACAGGGGCACATACATCACAATAGCAGGGAATGTCAGATAACAATGTTATGTCACATTAGACAGTGGTATGTTAGGTCACATGTGACAGTTGTAGGTCAGGTCACATGAGACAGTGGTATGTTAGGTCACATGTGACAGTGGTAGGTCAGGTCACAGGTGACCATGGTATGTCAGCTCAAATGAGACAGTGGTATGTCAGGTCACAGGTGACCGTGGTATGTCAGGTCACTACAGACAGTGGTATAACAGGTCTCTACAGACAGTGGTATGACAGTTCACAGGTCACCGTGGTATGTCAGGTCACTTCAGACAGTGATATGTCAGGTCTCTACAGACAGTGGTATGACAGTTCACAGGTGACAGTTGTATGTCAGGTCACAGGTGACCGTGGTATGTCAGGTCACTTCAGACAGTGGTATGTCAGGTCACTTCAGACAGTGGTATGTCAGGTCACTTCAGTCAGTGGTATGTCAGGTCACAGGTGACCGTGGTATGTCAGGTCACAGGTGACCGTGGTATGTCAGGTCACTTCAGACAGTGGTATGTCAGGTCACTTCAGACAGTGGTATGTCAGGTCACTTCAGACAGTGGTATGTCAGGTCACTTCAGTCAGTGGTATGTCAGGTCACAGGTGACCGTGGTATGTCAGGTCACAGGTGACCGTGGTATGTCAGGTCACAGGTGACCGTGGTATGTCAGGTCACAGGTGACCGTGGTATGTCAGGTCACAGTGGTATGTCAGGTCACTTCAGACAGTGGTATGTCAGGTCACTTCAGACAGTGGTATGTCGGGACACTTCAGACAGTGGTATGTCAGGTCACAGGTGACAGTAGTATGTCAGGTCACAGGTGACCGTGGTATGTCAGGTCACTTCAGACAGTGGTATGTCGGGACACTTCAGACAGTGGTATGTCAGGTCACTTCAGACAGTGGTATGTCGGGACACTTCAGACTGTGGTATGTCAGGTCACAGTGGTATGTCAGGTCACTTCAGACAGTGGTATGTCAGGTCACTTCAGACAGTGGTATGTCGGGACACTTCAGAGAGTGGTATGTCAGGTCACTTCAGACAGTAGTATGTCAGGTCACAGGTGACCGTGGTATGTCAGGTCACTTCAGACTGTGGTATGTCGGGACACTTCATACTGTGGTATGTCAGGTCACAGTGGTATGTCAGGTCACTTCAGACAGTGGTATGTCAGGTCACTTCAGACAGTGGTATGTCGGGACACTTCAGACAGTGGTATGTCAGGTCACAGGTGACAGTGGTATGTCAGGTCACAGGTGACCGTGGTATGTCAGGTCACAGGTGACAGTGGTATGACAGGTCACAGGTGACAGTAGTATGACAGGTCACAGGTGACCGTGGTATGACAGGTCACAGGTGACAGTGGTATGACAGGTCACAGGTGACAGTGGTATGACAGGTCACAGGTGACCATGGTATGTCAGGTCACAGGTGACCGTGGTATGTCAGGTCACAGGTGACCGTGGTATGACAGGTCACAGGTGACCGTGGTATGTCAGGTCACAGGTGACCGTGGTATGTCAGGTCACTTCAGACAATGGTATGACAGGTCACAGGTGACCATGGTATGACAGGTCACAGGTGACCGTGGTATGTCAGGTCACTTCAGACAATGGTATGACAGGTCACAGGTGACCGTGGTATGTCAGGTCACAGGTGAATGGGTATGTCAGGTCACAGGTCACAGTGGTATGTCAGGTCACAGGTCACCGTGGTATGTCAGGTCACAGGTCACTGTGGTATGACAGGTCACAGGTGACCGTGGTATGACAGGTCACAGGTGACCGTGGTATGTCAGGTCACTTCAGACAGTGGTATGTCAGGTCACAGTGGTATGTCAGGTCACAGTGGTATGTCAGGTCACTTCAGACAGTGGTATGTCAGGTCACTTCAGACAGTGGTATGTCAGGTCACAGGTGACTGTGGTATGTTAGGTCACAGTGGTATGTCAGGTCACTTCAGACAGTGGTATGTCAGGTCACTTCAGACAGTGGTATGTCAGGTCACAGGTGACAGTGGTATGTCAGGTCACTTCAGACAGTGGTATGTCAGGTCACAGGTGACAGTGGTATGTCAGGTCACAGGTGACAGTGGTATGTCAGGTCACAGGTGACAGTGGTATGTCAGGTCACTTCAGACAGTGGTATGTCAGGTCACAGGTGACAGTAGTATGTCAGGTCACAGGTGACCGTGGAATGTCAGGTCACTTCAGACAGTGGTATGTCAGGTCACAGTGGTATGTCAGGTCACAGTGGTATGTCAGGTCACAGTGGTATGTCAGGTCACTTCAGACAGTGGTATGTCAGGTCACTTCAGACAGTGGTATTTCAGGTCACAGGTGACTGTGGTATGTCAGGTCACAGTGGTATGTCAGGTCACTTCAGACAGTGGTATGTCAGGTCACTTCAGACAGTGGTATGTCAGGTCACTTCAGACAGTGGTATGTCAGGTCACAGGTGACCGTGGTATGTCAGGTCACAGGTGACCGTGGTATGTCAGGTCACTTCAGACAGTGGTATGTCAGGTCACTTCAGACAGTGGTATGTCAGGTCACAGTGGTATGTCAGGTCACAGGTGACCGTGGTATGTCAGGTCACAGGTGACAGTGGTATGTCAGGTCACTTCAGACTGTGGTATGTCAGGTCACTTCAGACAGTGGTATGTCAGGTCACAGTGGTATGTCAGGTCACAGGTGACCGTGGTATGTCAGGTCACAGGTGACCGTGGTATGTCAGGTCACAGGTGACAGTGGTATGTCAGGTCACTTCAGACAGTGGTATGTCAGGTCACAGTGGTATGTCAGGTCACAGGTGACCGTGGTATGTCAGGTCACAGGTGACCGTGGTATGTCAGGTCACAGGTGACAGTGGTATGTTAGGTCACTTCAGACAGTGGTATGTCAGGTCACAGGTGACAGTGGTATGTCAGGTCATAAGTGACTGTGGTATCTCAGGCCATATGCATCATGTTAACTTCTACCATTGTAGTATTTTCATTGTCATGTAACTTTAATGTTGAACTATCTTGACAACAGTACAAGTTAGAAACAGCAGTACATTGGACATCAATGTTACTCACTTTTTCTCATACTGTCCCATGTGCAGTTCTCGTCTCTAAAGAAGGGGTGTCTTTTGATTTCATCTACACCATTTCGTCCTAGCCGCTCTGTTCTGTAAGCACATAAAACATATAAGTTGTTTTCCTGCATCATCAAGTGCAACACAGTCACATCACAGCAGTCAGAGATTGGTCTGACAGAAACACCTGTTTCAGATCAGAAGAAAATAGCACTGTTAACATCAGGGTATGAAACTCCCAAAATTTTCAGCCAGACCACAGGACTGGCTAGCTGAAATACTTGCCAGCCCTGACCAAAACCTGCCTGCCCACTATAATCATATGTTTCTCAGGATAAGCTAACGGGGTTTCTTTTTGGTTACATTTTATCATTCATCTTTACATGTGAATTAATGATTATCATCGGGAAATATTTAGAATATTGTCACATATGAAATATGACCCGACCGTCGGGCAGGGGGATTTGAAAATCTGGCAGCCCGAGTTGAAATCAACCCGTCTCGGACGGTCGGGCAGGCAGGTATTTTGAACACTGTTAACATACAATATTGGTGCTTCCTGGTTTTAAAGTCACCTATGAGGTTGAGGTTGCTGGGACAATGACTCACCTATCAGTTAGGAAGGCACATATAATACTCTTAGCTTGGTCTGACATGTCCACATCAGGGGGGAACTGCAGAGATCGGGCATGGTCCATGATCTTGCCATATGTGCCCACAAGGGAGTCAGCGTAGAAAGGTGTGTCACCTGATGAAAATAAGCCATCTCAGAAAAGCTCCATACTTAAAAACTGGTGATATCATAATTACATAAGGCTTTGTTTCCTTCTATTTCTTGTCTTTGTTTATTGTCACTGCTAATTAACACAGATGAACGAGTGAGTGAGTTGAACAAGTTATATAACAGCATCTCATAATGAGGTTGATTTGCAATGCTCATTGTGGGACTGAATTAAGATAATAAAAAGTAATGCAACATTGGGGCCAGTCTACATGTGTTTGACCCAGGGGTCCGGAAACCGTCATATGCGCCGGATATGTCCGATTGGGAATCTCAAATGTCCGGTTTAAAATATTGCTTACCGGACATTTAAATTTTCTGTCCGGACATTTTAAAAAGTATTGTCCGGACATTCTTAAATTTTGACCGGACGTGATCAACAGTTAGGACTGAGCAGTTTCTGTCTGCAGTTGTAACACAATGAAGATTATCTACACTGACAAGCTTTGTTTGTTATGATTGCTGTAAATACATCGTACCTACATGATAGTCCAATCGGTCAATCACTGTAATAGGCAACAAACTGAGTTGACACTGATTAATCGAGGATTTATTACTGAGAACATCTTGTTAATTTGAGTGAAAGGTGTTTACAACTGTACAAATACCTTGCATCATCGATGTACCTCATTATCCTCACAATGCTACGATACGTAACCTCAGACAAAAAGCGAATGCGTGACGACAGCCAGTCGACCGATGCAGATCAGTCGAGCCAAACCCTCAAAGTCTGGACGATCATTTTGTAAGTCGTGGCTAACGACTTTCACTTGGTTGACATACAATGAGGATTTGCAGATTTTATTGTTTTCAGTAGCTAGTCGTATATTGAATCTTGATTGACCACCATTTTACTTTCTGTGACGATCGATATCAAAAAATTTGATGGTCAATAATTAAGTACAGATGAAAAAAGTATTCAAATTACTATTGCTATCACTTATATTTTAGTATTTGTGATTATATTATCTGTCTTGTTTTTAAATAATCTTCAGTTTTAAAAAAACCTTTTCCCGTGAGGTCACGTGTTAAGCAACTATGGGATAATAGTCTCGATCCAAATGTTACAACGCGTACACTTGAGCAGACTCATGAATATAACTCATGAATATTAATAAGACCGTTCATACGTTAACAGATCGTTATTATAACAGAAACAAACGTATGTTTTCCATGTATATCTAAATTTATCAAATATTATTTGTTATTAATTGTCCGGTGAATAAAACAATTTAAATTGAAACAGTTCATAATTCATAATATTATGAATACGTAACAACTTGTAATGTGTGTGAAAAGTCGTACTAAAATACGCTATTTGAAGGGGGCGTGGCCTAAAATGCAAATGTCCGATTGGGATTTAAAATTTTCCGGAACCCCTGGTTTGACCATGTAAGTAATGAGAAAAAGTTATTCTGTGTGGCTTTCTGAGGCTACTGACCAACAAGCATCTCATAGAGGAAGACTCCGACTGACCACCAGTCACACTCGCGGCCGTACAGCCCCTCCCCACCCTGTGACTTGAGCACCTCCGGGGAGATGTAGTCCGGTGTCCCTACCGCTGTGTCCGACCGAACCAGACCGTCCTGCAACAAGTATGCCCAAGTAACAACAACTGGTAGCCTTGTGCATGGTACAGCACAGCACAACACACAGTACAATTTCTTTCAATGTTAATTACATCGCTAGCCATCACTTTGGGTACAATGTCTGGCACTAAAACAATACTGACAGAGCCTTATACTGATTGACACATGAATGAGAAATCTCAACTACCACTTAGTTACTAATGTAAACAGTGTTTAATACCACAGGGTCTGCTGTAGAAGTTGCCATTCTTTTAGTCAGTCAGTTTTATTATTTGGAATAATATTTGTTTGAAGCACAAGAAGAATGTTTGCACAGTTAATTCTGACTCTCATATCAGAATCCATTTTACACACTTCCTCTAAGACACACAACACCGTTGCCACACAATGGTGTACTGAGAACCTGGGGGCTCCGGTACATGACCACAGGGGTTGCATGAGCTGCAGGACATCGAGTAAGTTATTGGGACTGCACTTTAGAGGGCTACAAACTAATGTGGTATTAAATTATAGTGTCACTAACCGCATCCATCCTCATACAGGTGCCAAAGTCAGCCAGTTTGAGGTGACCAGCACCATCCAGCAACATGTTGTCTGGCTTCACATCCCTGCAACATAGGAACTGACAGTGAGCTACACATCTCTCTCACCTTCAATCCTATAATAATAAGGCTGTGTGTCTTCACCTGATGCAGAGCATTGAGAACTGGTCAGCTACTCTATTGTAAGTAACCATAAAAGTAAAACACACTCTACCCTATGGACCTGGTGAAGTCTTATACTAGTTAGAGACCGGTGGGGCTCTTTGGAAAGTGGGGCATTTGGACATGGGGCCTTAGGGACATGGTGGGGCCCTATGGACATAGTGGGGCCTTGTGGACATGATGGCGTCTTATGGAGATGGTGGGGCCTTATAGACTGGTGGGGACCTATGGACATAGTGGGGCCCTGTGGACATGATGGGGTCCTATGGAGATGGTGGGGCCTTATAGACTGGTGGGGACCTATGGACATAGTGGGGCCCTGTGGACATGATGGCGTCTTATGGAGATGGTGGGGCCTTAGGGACATGGTGGGGCCCTATGGACATAGTGGGGCCTTGTGGACATGATGGGGTCCTATGGAGATAGTGGGGCCTTATAGACTGGTGGGGACCTATGGACATAGTGGGGCCCTGTGGACATGATGGCGTCTTATGGAGATGGTGGGGCCTTAGGGACATGGTGGGGCCCTATGGACATAGTGGGGCCTTGTGGACATGATGGGGTCCTATGGAGATAGTGGGGCCTTATAGACTGCTGGGGCCAAATGGACATAGTGGGGCCCTGTGCACATGATGGGGTCCTATGGAGATGGTGGGGCCTTATAGACTGGTGGGGCCCTATGGACAAAGTGGGGCCCTGTGGACATGATGGCGTCTTATGGAGATAGTGGGGCCTTATAGACTGGTGGGGACCTATGGACATAGTGGGGCCCTGTGCACATGATGGGGTCCTATGGAGATAGTGGGGCCTTATAGACTGCTGGGGCCAAATGGACATAGTGGGGCCCTGTGGACATGATGGCGTCTTATGGAGATGGTGGGGCCTTACAGACTGGTGGGGCCCTATGGACATAGTGGGGCCTTGTGGACATGATGGGGTCCTATGGAGATGGCGGGGCCTTATAGACTGGTGGGGACCTATGAACATAGTGGGGCCCTGTGGACATGATGGGGTCCTATGGAGATAGTGGGGCCTTATAGACTGGTGGGGCCCTATGGACATAGTGGGGCCCTGTGGACATGATGGGGTCCTATGGAGATAGTGGGGCCTTATAGATTGGTGGGGACCTATGGACATAGCGGGCCTTTGGACATAGTGGGGCTTTATGGAAACGCTGGAGCCCTGTGGATGTGGCGGGGCCTTTGAGCATAATAGGGGCCTTATGGATATTAGGGCTGGGACGAAAAACCAACTGTGCGATCCAATATGTATCATGATACCTTACACACGATCCGATATGTATCACGATACTTGTATGCGATCTTTTTTATGCCAAATACCTGGCAAACCGATGATTTACAGTTGGCAGTCTCAAGTATGGCACAATGGATGAAAATATTTACGTTTTCACAATTAACTTTCACTACCAATTAGTGTTTGGTGTAACAGTTACTTAAAGCAAATTTTAAGGTCAGAATCGATTTTTTGTACTTAGTGTGCGATTGTGATCAACACTTGTATCAAGAAGTAAAAAATTGTGATCCACCAATGCACTGGGGTGTTGTCCCACCACTAATGGATATGTGTATCCCAATGTACCTGACAAGAGTCCTGTGGATGTGGTGGGACCCCATATACATGGTGGAGCCTAGTGGAAGGTGAGTTGTCGAGTGAAGGAAGGAAGAGGTGTGAGTGAGTGAGTGAGTGAGTGAGTGAGTGAGTGAGTGAGTGAGTGAGTGAGTGAGTGAGTGAGTGAGTGAGTGAGTGAGTGAGAGTGTGTGTGTGTCGGAATCAACCCAAACCCATGCAAGTCACCTCTTACCACAAGCATTAGTCACTAGGTATCAACTTTACCCATTGTTCAACACCTCAATTTCACACCAATTCTTTTGTCACTTAATAACATAAGTAGATTCTGAAAAGTGAAGCTGAACTTGATAAAGAACTTTGGCATTACCTGTGTACGAATCCCATGGAGTGGATAGCATCTAGGGACAGGACCACTTCAGCACAGTAGAACTTGGCCCACTTCTCGGGTACATCATAGTTACTCATGAGGTTGACCAGGTCACCCCCGGGCATGTAGTCCATCACCATGTACAGGAAGCGGCCATCTTGGAATGCATAGTGAAGCTGCAAAAGAGTATCAGGAGAAATGGTACACCCTGGCACTGCATCAAAGGCCTGATGACCAAATACTTTTCACTGTATACTATATGCAATTTCACTATGTACAATAAACATTTCACACTACTGATATAAGTGAAGGTAATTTGAAGGTAATCAATATCCCTTAGGACCCATAAAATATCATGTTTAGCCATTTCTTTGGCAAAGTTTCCAAAAAATATTACATTTGGGACCTCAAATTTAAAATTATTGATATTAAAGCAATGTCAGGTATTATCGAACAAAATTTCATTTCCAAATATATTTCTCAAATCACTGATCATGACAGCTGTTTCTATGCGCATGTCTTGAAAGAGAAACTTCCTCTTCCCCGAAGAACAATCATCTGCTTCAAAAACGTAAATCAAAACATGCACAAAACAAAACAGAAGAAAAGACCAAGAACAGGCATCACATCCTTACAAGTGGTGCGTATATGGGCAATGAAAAGGCTAAGTCGATAAGTCTAGCCAAACCTGGATACCCCTTTCTGAGAATACCATCATTTTAGTACATTATGGAAATCTAGACCATAATACAAGCCACTGTTGACCATATATGGACAGTACAACCCGATAAACGCTAACCCATCATTAGTTCGCCCCGTCGGCCTCAGCAAACAAGTCTCATTATACTTAACGACACGATGATTGATTGTGTGGTTTAAAAGGTTGGTCATATTGATAATGCAATGGAATCAGACCCTAAATTAGTCTCACCGAATTGCTTTTATATCAATATACGGTAGAACAAAGCCCTGTATTCAGGGAGCACTGCATATATCCGGTTGTCTTAAACAACAATCATCAACGTTGGAAACGTGTCGAGCTCTAAAAACATGATCATTATTTTATCAAGGAATGAGTCACACTGTCCCAGCTTTCTTAGAGACAACAACTCCAAGCATTAGTTTGCGGACAACTTACTTTTTCATCAGGAAAATGTCAGCTGGGGCATTTCTATAAACTCTCAAAATGTCCGACTGTGACCTTATATTAACATGATTGATGTCAAGGGCAGTTAATCTCACGGCTTTTATGAGAGTGCTCTCCCTTTCACCGTGCACACTGCTGACCGACGGGCACCTTGCACGTCATGTATCTGACACGACAATATTATTTAATTTCTAGTCTTTTAACAAACTATGTTTGCTTGGCCTTATTATATTGCAGATAAAATATGTTTAAAGGACAGCAATGTTCGATTATTATCACTAATGTCCATGTTGAAATAAGTAATTCCAAGAGTAATTGCTTGCACTCCCAGACAGTTATATTATACACCCAGTACATTGCATTTAATTAACGTTTAATTGCAGAATATAAACGATATTAGTAAAGTGTTGCAATTTTATAATCCGTTTTAATGCATAGACCCATCTCTTTATTATATTCTTGTCTGGTCTGACATTTTAAAGTTTGCCGATATATAACTTGAATTATTACTCATCTCATCCTTAACTACTTGAAAGAAATTAATCTGTATCATAATTTTTAAAGATGTATGTGAATAACTAATTGCTTGATTTTAAATTTGGTGTGTTGCTTTTATGGACAGAGATGATTGAAGGCTCTGCCCAGGAGGTTATAGTACCGTAAAATTATTGTCCTGTTAGTATCATCAACAAGCGTTTAAAAACATCTGGCTGCTGAGCAGGAAGCCGAAGCACTGTAAGTCGTCACGATTTAATACATGACACATCCCGATATACGTAAATCTGCGGAAACAAATCAACTATATCTGCATGATTTTCTGCATATGATGCATTCATGGCAGTATCTACAGGGTATAGATGTATCCTTTGCCTGGCTACACGTGAATCTGGATGCAGGAATAACTGGATATTAAGACAACTTGTCAATAATTTATCTGACATTGTTAGCTAAGAAATATATGCTGCAATACTCTTGTTGATGTTTACACCATGCATGTTTGTGAAGGGAAAGTTGCTTTCCTTCTGATGTTTGAATACAACACCATTAAAAGAGTGATGAATGTGGAATTGGTTTGAAATCATCACAAAACTGTTACATATTGAGTGAAAACATGTTAAGGTAATAATATCTCAATATAAACATGGGTGTTCAGCTGAGGTGACAACCAAGAGAAAAATATAAAAAGTTGACTATGTCAAATATCTGAATTATTGTTTCATGTAAAGACATACAGTACAAATGAAGTGAGGGGTATAGTGTTAGCTGTTCAGTAATACCTGACACCGCTCTGTCTGATTATCTTCCTCACTGTCACTTCATGGAATTCTGACATAATTTGCAATGTAGGTACGATGTGTGTGATGCAAGATAAAATGCTTGCATTTCAATACAACTGAAACTGGTTGTAATGGGGTATGGTGGGTGATTTCCAATGTAGTTTCAAGTTTCAATTTGTGAGCCAGAAAACTCATATGCACAATTTCATGTTCGAAAGACATCTTCAAGTAAATGCAAATTTGAAATTACATAGATGGCAAAACCTTTCCTCATTTGCATTTTAAGCATGAAATTGGAAAAATCTTCAGAAATATTTGTCACAGTAGCATGATTAGTAAATACTGATCATTAACACATTTTCACAAAATGTGGCATTATTTAACTGAAGATGATATAAACTGACCAAGTAGGACAGGGTACAAGTGTAAGACACTGGGATACCACAACTAGACCTGTAATTACAGCACTGTACCCAGTCACTAGGCCAGGGAAGCTTGTGTACAAGTGATGCAAATAGTCTCTAATTACCAATCTCATGTACCTATTTTCAAGGTGTACTGAGAATCTCACTACGCTGATGTAATACCTGGGTAAACACACTGTACCACTTTCACATAGCAAATATACCAGTGCATACCCCTCAACTAGTGACAGTCCAGAGGTGGGTTAACAAGCAGATATCTGCACACAGGCTCAACAGGAACATCAGTCACCTGCAGTCTACTGTATCAACCTCCATTATTTAATCAAATCCATACAATCTACAATAATACCTTCTATTGGCAAGCTGTATTCTATAACAAACCTCCCCTGACATGCTGTTACTTACCTGGACAATCCACTCGCTGTTGGCATTAGCCATAATTTCACGTTCCTCCCAAAAGAAAGCTGAGTCGGATCTCTTCAACTGCAATACAAACACAAAATCACATAAACTCAGGCAGACAACTCTCTTCAGACAATATGCCTGACACAACTCAACTCCTCAGTGAACATTCATGCAAGACCATCATAAATGTTGCCACCAATACTGTTTAACACTGATATAAATGGGGTGGCTGAAAAGTTCAGGGAGCCATTGTACAAAACAACCTCAGCTCTATGGCTGTCGTAGATCTGTGTTAAGGTATGAGAGTTACAATCACCTTATGTAATAATAGATGAGTCGTGAGTTCACCACTATCTGCCAGAAAGTAAACCACAATCAACATTGGTCAAAGCAGTGGACACATCTCCGAAGATGAAGGGAAAATCTCTCCATTCAGATGGCTGGGTGAAATCTTCAGTTTTCTGGGATTCCAAAGGAATCCTACTGGTAGACTACCTCCCAATCAGTCAGACCTTCAATGGCTAAAGGTGTGTTGTACCACCGGTTGACCCCATGGCCCCAAGCATGACTGGGGCAATGAACTCATTGAACATCCTCTGTATTCACCAGGTTTGGCACCGTCCGATTTCCATTTCTTCCTCAACTTGAAGAAAGAACAGTCTGGCAAGTATCAAGCAAATGATGATGGCATTATTGCTGCTGTGGAAGACTTTTTACACCATCCAAAAGAAGCCTTCTACGCCAGTGGGATCCACGAACTCCAGCATCATTGGCAGAAGTGTATGGAGCTTGGAGGTGATCATGTTGAAAAATAATCAGCAACCACCTCCATCAATGCAGTCCATCATAGGTAGGGTCCGAAACCTTTCAGCCACCCAATGCATATATACAGTAAACTACGGTTATAACGAACTCAAAGGGACCACTAATTTTAGTTCGTAATAACCGTAGTTCGTTATAGGCATATACACAGCAAAACTACAGCAAATAGTCGGGACTAAAAAGTAAGTTCGTTGTATCCTTCAGTTCGTTATAAGCGTGTTCGTTATAACCGTAGTTTACTGTACTTATATCCGTATCCATGACATGTAACATATATGACAAGAGCACAACAACATGAGGCAGAAAATATGAAACAAATGAACACTTGTATGACATATATATAGGAACAAGGCTTCAATCAATCCAGTTCACTTCAACAAACTGGCTTAACTACATGGCCAATCATTTTCCATGACAGTTTTAGCCTAATGTGACCCAGGCATAATCTGTACTAACATGATTACCTGTCTTAGTGTCAGACTCCAGATATGCCTATGTTTAATCTGTGTTGGAAAATTAGGGGGGTCCTGGGCCCCTATAGGTTGCTGGTATAGTCAGGTATACAATTTAAATCTAAGGTTATTTGAACACTGATTCATTGCCTCAAGTTTGGCGAGAATTGGAAACAAATCATGATAAGCAATACCTCACAAGTATTGTCATGTAACTATGCATGCACTTGTCAAAGTGAATAATGATAAAACAATCTGGTTTTATTTCAACTCTCTACTACTAGATTTCAAGGAAAGAACCAAATTCAATATCAAAACACAACAAGATGATCACAACATCAAAATGATCCTACATACTTATTCTGGTAAAAAATAAAAGGTTTTAGGAAATTGTAATAAAACAATTATTTTATTAGTGTAACTACAGTTCTTTTGTCTATGACTGAGAGATTCAAAAACCCTTCATTGTGCGTTCATGGTTTGCTCAATACCAAATGTCAATATTTAGCGTGGCATTACAACCATCTCAGTAATAGCCAAGTCAACAGCCATCGTCCGCTGAAACAATATCATCCTTATCCATGTGCGACATGAATCTGCCCGACACATCTCCACCATCCCAGGTCCAGACAAGGATGCGGAGGCACCATACTTCCATGAGCTGTGATTTAGCTGGGTTTAACTATCTATGAGTCCAGGCTGCATCTGGTACACCCTGCATGAGTGTCCTCCATGGAAATGACAGGAAATATGGAACTATTTCAATCAACAGAGCTTATGGCTTTTACTTTTTACTGTCAAGATGTGTTAGGGTGTTATTTAAAGGTGGGAAGTTCCAAGTGGCTGTGTGACAGGGGGCCCAGTCACTGCATAGATTTCACTATAGTATCAGATGATACATGGTGTAGATTGTCACGGGCTGGAGACAGGGGGCCACAAAGTGTACTGCCCTGGGAGGAATGTAACAGACTACCACAGCTTACAGGATTGACGTATAAGAAGCAATCAAGTACATTTACATCTAAATCTGTCCGCTCTATTGTGACATTCTGCAGCAGTATCGTATGCCGATTATTTCCTGTCAGTCAACACTGACACAAAATCAGCAATAACTTCCTCTCCATCATGGCTGACCCAACAGGCGCCCCTGAATCACATCAGGATATGACAACACACTGTAGTCCAGGTGACTCTCAAACAGATACTCGGGTTCAAGGAATGAACAGGGTGGTCAAAGACTGGATTACTTTTCACTTGATTTCAAAGCATTTTACTGATACTGCACATGCTCAGCAGGCATAAACGTATCACTAATGGGGATGTCCCACTGCACTCACAATGTAAATTATTTGTGTCCCTAAGTTTTATGTATATTGGACAAGCCGCTGGCTGCATCTGGTACACCCGACATGAGTAACCTCCATGAAGCCCGTGGCCAGTCTGCTTGACACAACGGTAGCCAGCAGTCAACAATCGCCTCCCTCTACACGCTTTAACCTCAAAGATTTCCAGACAAACACCAAACTCATGCTAAACCAAATATCAACAGATCAAGAGCTTTCAAGTCCAACAACTGCTGTGAGGTTTTCGTAAGTGCTTAGTTGTTTTCACAACAAACTCTCCAAACTAACGCTGGAAATTTGGACTGCTTCATATACAAATACCCGTCAACCTATTTGTTTCCTTCCTTTAATCAGGTAAAGGTTTTCATGAAAATATACAATGATGCATCAATGGCGGAGAGGTTGTCAAGGAAATATACAATGCTGTATCAATGGCTGAGAGTTTTTTTCTCAAAGAGTTATACCTAAAGTGAAACACGTTCTGCCAAAGCTAGTGTGTCAAACAGTAAAGGTTTCAACTACACTAAACCTGGGCACCTACATATTGAGCTGTACCATAAGCTATAAGTAGTTTCACAACTTTTCTATATGCTGAAATTTATAGTCAGTGATGTATTTATTTCTACAAAACATTCACAAGTTTTGCATCATAGTTCACATAGACAAAGAAACATAACTAACCCTACAAGTTGCTGTTTTCTATTTAAAATGCCTATGATAGAACTAAACAAAATGCAACAGACTTCTTCTGCTACAATGCAAAAATGACAGGAAGTATGGAACTATCTGTGTCAAACATTTCCATCAACAGAGCTTATGGCTTTTACTTTTTACTGTCAAGATGTGTAAGAGTGTTATTTAAAGGTGGGAAGTTCCAAGTGGCTGTGTGACAGGGGGCCCAGTCACTGCACAGATTTCACTATAGTATCAGATGATACATGGTGTAGATTGTCACGGGCTGGAGACAGGGGGCCACAAAGTGTACTGCCCTGGGAGGAATGTAACAGACTACCACAGCTTACAGGATTGACGTATAAGAAGCAATCAAGTACATTTACATCTAAATCTGTCCGCTCTATTGTGACATTCTGCAGCAGTATCGTATGCCGATTATTTCCTGTCAGTCAACACTGACACACAATCAGCAATAACTTCCTCTCCATCATGGCCGACCCAACAGGCGCCCCTGAATCACATCAGGATATGACACACGTGTGTCTGTAACACTACATGTAGCTGGGATATAATGACGTGTGTCTGTAACACCACATGTAGCTGGGATATAATGACGTGTGTCTGTAACACTACAAATGTAGCTGGGATATAATGACGTGTGTCTGTAACACTACACATAGCTGGGATATAATGACGTGTGTCTGTTACACTACATGTAGCGGGGATATAATGACGTGTGTGTCTGTAACACTACATATAGCTGGGACATAATGATGGTTGGGCTTGTAACACTACACATAGCTGGGATATAATGACGTGTGTGTCTGTAACACTACACATAGCTGGGATAAAATGACGTGTGTGTCTGTAACACTACATGTAGCTAAGATTTAATGATGTGTGTGTGTCTGTAACACTACATGTAGCTGGGATATAATGACACAAGTGTCTGTATCACTACATGTAGCTGGGATAAAATGACACGTGTGTCTGTAACACTACATGTAGCTGGGATATAATGACACATGTGTGTCTGTCACACTACATGTAGCTGGGATATAATGACACGTGTGTCTGTCACACTACATGTAGCTGGGATATAATGACACGTGTGTCTGTAACACTACATGTAGCTGGGATATAATGACACGTGTGTCTGTCACACTACACGTAGCTGGGATATAATGACATTTGTGTGTCTGTCACAATACACGTAGCTGGGATATAATGACATTTTTGTGTCTGTAACACTACATGTAGCTTGGATATAATGATGTGAGTCTTAACACTACATGTAGCTAGGATAAAATGACGTGTGTGTCTGTAACACTACATGTAGCTAGGAGATAATGATGTATGTGTTTGTACATTACACATAGCTGGGATATAATGACACACGTGTGTCTGTAACACTACAAGTAGCTAGGACATAATGATGTATGTGTTTGTAACACTACACGTAGCTGGGATATAATGACGTGTGTGTCTGTAACACTACATGTAGCTGGGATATAATGACGTGTGTGTCTGTAACACTACATGTAGCTGGGATATAATGATGTGTGTCTGTAACACTACATGTAGCTGGGATATAATGACATGTGTCTGTAACACTACATGCAGCTAAGACATAATGATGTGTGGGTCTGTAACACTACATGTAGCTGGGATATAATGACACGTGTGTCTGTAACACTACAAGTAGCTAGGACATAATGATGTATGTGCCTGAAACACTACATGTAGCTGGGATATAATGACACGTGTGTCTGTAACACTACATGTA